CCTCTGCAGAGAGATGGGGAGGGCCTGGCATGCGCACGCTCACAGTGCCCCCCAACACCCCCAGCGGGGTGCCAGGAGCAGGAGCAATCCCATGGGAAAGCTCAGGGAGCTGCTCCTGCTGCCAGGCCCCGTGCCAGGATCTGCCCGTGTTTGCCAAGGGTGTTTGCTCCGGCCCTGCTGCTTTCCCACGGGTCCCCTCGGGCGCCACAAGGGGTAAAGGGGGCTGGGGCCGAACCGGGCTGAGACCGGACTCAGCTCCCGACAGCTCCCAGGGTGCGGGGGGGGCCGTGCATCACCCCCCTGCTGCCCTTCCTGTCCCCAGCGCTGGGGAAGCGCTGCCCAGTGAGGGCAGGATATTGCAGCAGCACTGGGGCAGGATCAGTCCTGCCTCCCCCCCCCAGCCCAACGGCACCCTGGGGACCCTCCAAGCACCCACGGTCACCGTGGGGCTTGGACACCAGCGGCCGCAGCCCTACAGAGGGTCCTGTCCCAGCCCCACGGGTGCCTTTACTGAGCCCTGTGGGTCCCCAGCCCCATGGGTGCGCCTCCCCCAGCCGCGGGGGGCAGGACTGCCGTGTCTGTACAGGGACACGCAGAGACCCCCCGGACCCCTCCCGGGGCCTTCCCCCCACAGCCCGCGTCTCCCACGGAGCACCCCCGTGTCCCCGTCCACCAAGAGACGCCCCAATCCCACCCCACCACATCCCATTGCGCTGCCAAGGACACCCCGATCCCCCTCCCCACATCCCTGTGTGCCCCCCATGAGCCCCTTCCCCGTCCCAGTGTGCCCGCAGCACCCGTGGGCCCTTCCAGGAGCACCGCCCCACGGCCCTCCCGCACCCCGCACCCCGCACCGGCGGGCTCGGGCACACACACGCACGTTACCGGTGTCACTGCACTGGGACGATGCCGCCGCTGCTCTCCGGTCTCCTCCGGTCTCCGGCCCCGCTCGGGGGTGCTCCCCCCCCGGAACTGAGCGGCACCCACAGTGGGTGCAGGCGGCAGCGCCGGCAGAGGGTGCTGCATCCGGCCCCCCCGCACCAGTCCAACCAGTCCGACCTCCCCGAGAGCCGCGGGGGGGGAGAGGGGACATCCTGCTCTGCAACAGCGAGCTGCGATGGGGGGATGGACCATGGGGGGATCCAGTGCAGCCCCCCCACAGGCAGGGTGAGAGGAGCCAGGTCCCCAACTCCCCCCCCCCCCCCCTCCCCCGCCATGGTGCACTGGGCTGCACTGGGCTGGAATGGGATGAAATGGGCTGCAGTGGGCTGGAATGGGCTAAACTGGGCTGGAATGGGCTAAACTGGGCTGCACTGAGCTGGAATGAGCTAAACTGGGCTGAACTGGGCTGGAATGGGCTAAACTGGGCTGCACTGGGCTGAAATGGGCTAAACTGGGCTGAACTGGGCTGGAATGGGCTAAACTGGGCTGCACTGGGCTGGAATGGGCTAAATTGGGCTGGAATGGGCTAAACTGGGCTGCACTAGGATGAAAGGGGCTGCACTGGGCTGGCCCATGGGTACCCCCAGCCCCACATCTCCTATCCCATGGATACCCCCAGCCCCACATCTCCTATCCCATGGGTACCCCCAGCCCCACATCTCCTATCCCATGGATACCCCCAGCCCCACATCTCCTATCCCATGGGTACCCCCAGCCCCACATCTCCTATCCCATGGATACCCCCAGCCCCACATCTCCTATCCCATGGGTACCCCCAGCCCCACATCTCCTATCCCATGGATACCCCCAGCCCCACATCTCCTATCCCATGGGTACCCCCAGCCCCACATCTCCTATCCCATGGATACCCCCAGCCCCACATCTCCTATCCCATGGGTACCCCCAGCCCCACATCTCCTATCCCATGGATACCCCCAGCCCCACATCTCCTATCCCATGGGTACCCCCAGCCCCACATCTCCTATCCCATGGGTACCCCCAGCCCCGCTCCCTGTGCTAAAGCAGCCCCAGCCCACAGCAGCGGGGGGCTGGTCACGCTGCACCATCGCACGTGGAGGGCACAAGGCTCACACTGATCTGGTTCCCTGCAGCACACTGGGATGGATCCCCCTTCCCGGCCTCCTCCCTGGCTCCCAGCAGTGTCCTCCCAGGCTGGGCCGTAGCAGAGGGACTGAGGAGCAGGATCTCATGTCCCAGGCCCCGGGCACAACCGGGTGCCGAGTGTGCCTGTGCCGGCTGCTCCCATGGAACCCGCAGCGTGGCTCGGGTGGAGGGGGGGGCTGAGCGGGATCGGATCCCGGCGGTGGCTGTGACACGGCTGCTCTGTTCCATCCCATCCCTGAGCCTTATCCACAGCCCCGTTCCCGGCCGCTCTTCCCACCCCGCACGGCCTCGGCTTCTGGCCATGGGATGGAACTGAAACGCGGCTGCAGCAGCAGCGATCAGCGCAGTGCCCCCAGGCCAGGCAGGGGCACCCTGCTGGGAGCAGGGAACACGGGGCTGGAGCTGCACATCCCGCCCGGCTCCTGCTCTGGTGCTGGCAGGGAACCGAACGGAACAGAGGGGCCAGAGCAGAGCCCCTGCTCCTCCCACCCAACCACGGTGGCTCCACGAGATGCTCCTGCACTGGGCCCCTCCTGTCCCCAAACCCACTCCTTGGGGCAGGAGAGGAAGGGGAAAGGGGGAACCCAACCCTGCTCCTGGCTGAGTGCTGGGAGGAGGAAGAGTCTTGGAAGCACTTGGAGACATCACAGAAACGAGTTTATTCCCCCCTCAGGATGCTGAAAGCACAGAAGCAGTTTCAATATTGACAGAGGGCTCCAGCGCCCAGCAGGGAGCAGAACAGAGGAGGAGGGAACGACTGGAGAGCAAGCACAAGGCCAGAGCTCTGCCCCACAGCCACGGGCAGAGGGGGGTGAGGGAAGCTTTGACGTGGCTTGTGCAGGGGGGCTGCACGGAGAGGATGCTCCTCACGCTCCTCCCGCACCAGAGGAAGCAGCACACTCCCCCCAGTCACAGCGACGGGAAGAACCCACCCAGCCCAAACGCTCTGTGGTACCTCGGCTCTGGGCTTTCCCGTGGGATGCCATTCCTGCCATCTCCACTGGTGCAAGCGGGACGGCTGCCGAGCCAGGACATGGGTGAAGCGCTGCCCTCCTCCCCAGCAGCCCCCATCCTGCTCCAAGCCCATCTGCTGCTGCTCGAGGAGTCTCCATTGGAACCCAGCTCTGGTTCAAGCATGAGGAGCAAAGGAGGAGGTGGGGAATGGCACTGAACGCGGCTTTGGGAATGCCAGGAGCAGGGAACGTGGCTGCAGCCCTGGTCTCAGCTCCAGGTCTCAGCTTTGGCAAGGCTCGCATTGATTCCACACTGACCCCACGTGTGAGATGCTGAGACTCGAGGTTATTGCTATGGTGTAAGAGGCTCCAGCCCTGGGGCCAGGGGCTCTGAGCACATCCTTGGCAGGTCACTGAGGAATCAGACTCGCATCAAGAGCAGAGGCAAAGGACCAGCCCCTCCTGTTCGACTGGCTCGTCCTGGGGTGCTTCACCAGCGAGCGAGGCAGCGGAGCTGGGAGACACCTCCACACATCACCCTTCCATCACAAGGTGCTCTCTGATCAAGAGCTTGGCTTCCCCATCAGCACCAGGCCCAGTGCCCTCGGGCTTGCTCTCCACACAGGCTTGGAGTGACTGCACAGAGCAGGCACCAACCTGTGCTTCAGCTCCAGGTCCATGCAGCGAGGTCTGTGCATCTTCACCCGCTCCACAACAGCCAGTTGTGTGTGGTGACACACAGCGGGATGCTGAGGACAAGGGGGTATGTGAAGGTGACTGAGGAAAAGGAGGAAAGGCAGGGATGGAGCAGTCAAAGAGGGGTTCCCATCCCTCCCAGAGGGCTGGAGGAGTTGGGAAAGCCGTTTTCTTCCCTCTGCAGTGGGAGCCCTGCTCAGCTGCACATCACCCTTTAGCCACACGTCTGTAACAGGCTGCCTGGCTCAGAGCCCCCAGAAAGCAGCATCTGAGGCCACAACCTCTCCATAGGAGACCTGGAGCTATCCCCCTACTACCTGTCCTGTCCCATCCAGGGCTTCAAAGGGCCATCAGCCCCTTGGTGCTGCCAGAGCAGCATCTCTCACATCAAAGCCAGTCCTGCAAAGCACTACAGAGCTCATGCACCACCCTGGAACCAGTCACAAGGAACCCAGGGCCCCAGTTTAATGCTACAAAACCCAACCAGAACATGGGTACCTTCCGATCCCTTCACCTCTTCTGTTAAGCTCTGATGGCCCCAGGTCTCAGGATGCTTTCAAACCCCTACACTGAGCCTCCCCGAGACAGGTACCTGCTGCTCCAGCCACCTCTGCAGGCTCAGTAATGCTGCACCACACAAAGGGCAGGGGAGCAAAGGGAAGGAAAGTGGCTGGTGAGCAGTGTAACAACCACCTGAGCTGCTCCGAGCACAGGGAGAAGCAGGGATGCTCTGTGCTCTCTGGCACAAGCTAAAAGGGACTCAGCAGCAGGCTCCCCGCTCTGCAAGAGGCCATTGGAAGCGTGCAGCCTGCCCTGCGCTGCACCAAGCCGGTGGATGGACTTTGCTGCCTTCCTGGGCTCCCCAGCAGGACGGGATGAACTGGCCCTGTCACAGTGTTCCTTAGAGGAGCACCAACACCTTCCTGTCAGCAATGGGGTGCTGTGGCACCCGACACCCCCAGGAGGAACCCCACACCTCCACCTGGAAATGTGCAACAGGGAGACAACAGCTCCTTGGTGGAGACTGAGGAAGCATCCGATGACCTCTGCCTGGAGGAAGCAACCAGAGAGAACCTTACAAGGGGCATCTTGTGCTCCCAAATCAGGAGGCAGGGCTTGCCCTGTGGCTGTATGTGGTGATGAAAGGAAGGTGCCCACACGTCCCTCTCCTCTCCTGGCTGCATCCCTACCTACCAGACTGCAGCAAGAGAGAGAGCAGGCGGCTGTGGAAGCCCTGCCACTGGGAGATGCCACCAACAGAACAAAAACAGGAGGAAAAGAAGCTTCAAGAGGAGCTGTTTACAACGGAGTGGAGCTGCCACCTTCCATGGAAAACTCCTCCCAGAGTGCCAGGCCTCCACCTCGCTGCATCAGTCCCAGTCTCTTCCTTTGGGTGCCCACAGAGCTGCCATCACCGCAAATGAAGAGTGAGAACCACGGTCACAATCACCCCCAGGAAGAGGACAAAGGGCAGCCAGGTCTTCACAAATCCCCCTATGCTGCAAAACAGGACAGAGAAGTGTTTAAACATGGGAAATGAGCAGAGAAAGACAAAAGGGAGCTTCCAGCTTCAGTTCAGGGCAGAGACCAGCACCTTTCAAACCTGCGGACAGGAGCGGGGACAGAAGAGCATCAAACATGAAGCCCTGTTACAAGGCCTGACTGCTGCTGTATTTAACCAAGACAACAGGGGAGAGGAACCAGTAACCCTTGGAGACAAGCTATGCTGTGACCTTGTGTTCTGACCTACCCCAGCCAAGGGACAGCACAAGGGGAAGATCTGCTTTAGTGAGCATTTCCCAAATTCCAAGTGCCATAAATGAGCAGTAGGATACAGTATTTTGGGAGCAGCACCTGGTGCACTCCTACTTCTCCTCCTAAGAACTGGCAGTGACAGCATCACCTACTAGCAACACCCCCACATAGTGTGGGGAGAGATGGTTCTCCCTTCTCCCTGGGACAGGCTGAAGCTTTAGAGGGCTTGGAAGAAGGAAAGAAACAACTCCTGTGACTGCTGAATCAGGCTGCTCCTCCACTCACCTCACATACTTCCCATAGAGCAGGGAGAAGAAGCAGAGTTTCACCATGTTCCAGGAGGTGCTGTTATCGTATCTCATCAGGTTTAAGGCCAGAGCTACGTGAGAATGGCAGTTATCACAACAGAGGTTGTGCTGGAACACAGAAAGGGGCACAGCATTAGAAACCCTGCTCTTGAGGCTTCCCTTCACACACAGCCAGGACATCATCACTTAGAGCCATACCATTCGGTGCTTGTACTCCTCTGAGGCATCGTGGACAGCCGTGTCCCACGCATTGGAACTGGTGGAATATACTTTGCTGGGATCCAGTTTCCAGTACCTGGAAGTATGAGAACAGATCCATTCACATCACTGCTGCACCTTCACAACTTCCTGCTCTTCCCAGCAGGAAGATGCTCAATGAACTTAACAGAAATCCACGGCCTCAAGAGTCATCAAACCCCAGCCTGGTTTGTGTTGAAGGGACCTTAAAGCTCCTTCAGTTCCAACCCCTGCCACGGGCACCCCTTCCACTGGAGCAGCTTGCTCCAAGCCCCTGTGTCCAGCCTGGCCTTGAGCACTGCCAGGGATGGGGCAGCCTCAGCACCCTCACAGGGAAGAGCTTCTGCCTCAGAGCTCATCTCAGTCTCCCCTCTGTCAGGTTCAAGCCATTCCCCTTGTCCCAAGCCCCTCTCCAGGTTTCCCGCAGCCCCTTCAGGCACTGGAGCTGCTCTAAGGTCTCCCCTTCAGGAGCCTTCCCTTCTCCAGGCTGCCCCAGCCCAGCTCTCTCAGCCTGGCTCCAAGCCCCTGGAGCATCTTTGTAGCCAAGAGAAGGTTCAGATCTCTGGGGCACAGACAAAGCCCTGGACTGCTTTCACATCCCAGCACAGGAAACCTGTCTATTCAAAGTGTAAACCTGCTCTGACAGGCACACAAAATCCAGGCACCTCTCCTCCTCCCCCCAAACCCCATTAACTTCTGCAGGTTAGTTGGTTAGTTTGGTAAGAACCAAGAGGAGCACTTACTTCACTGGCTTCCCAAATGCCATGTTGTCTTCCTAGAAAAGAGGAAAACTGTCTCAAGAGGACAGAAGGCAGCACAAGATCCAGCACATGCCTCTTGCTGGGAGCCCATATCCCAGCCCAGCACCAATTAGTGAGCAATCTGCCACGTTGCCTCAGCAGCCTCTCATTTGTGTGTCTGCCTTTAGGTTTCAATTGCTTTCATACTCCTGGGCACAAGTATATTTATACTCTAGACACGGTGACACCATCTAGCTTTGCGGTAGAATGCTTTGTTCCCTAACTTTTCCTTGTTTTCAACTATTAATACTTTGTTAAATGTCCCAAGTTATTCAGAGCATTAATTATCCCAAATTAAAACTCCCTTACTTCTAAAGCCCACTCAACTATAGCCTTACTGGCAAAGCCCACTGGACTACAAAGCAGCTTCGAGGATCAGCGCATACCTGGTGCCAAGCAGCACGCTTGGTACTATGCTGAGGAATTTGGAAGGTGGCTTCTACTCCTCACGTTACTGTAGTTACACCAGTGAGGGTGAGGAGCTGCTCAAGCACAGCTGCCTGAGCACCTGCATCCATCATTTACCCACTGAGCATCTACTCACTGAGACAAAGTACGGCCCCGCAAAGTCCCGAATGACTCCGGTGGATGTGCAGATCCCCATGTGGCCGATGATTGGGAAGAGCCATCTGTGGAGGCAAGAAGCAACCATCACCAGAGGTGTGTGCCCCCACTCACACCGAGGGAGTGCAGCTGCTGCCCAGAGCACACCCACCTGCAGGGACAGGCCCAGTTAACACATTACACACGGCTGAGAGCTCGCACAGCAAGCCAGGTGCAAGCGCCCTGGGCAGAAACCAGGGCTCCTGGCTCCGGGAAGAGCATTCCCTCCCCTCAATGATCCTGTTGTTGCAGACTTTCTCCTCCCCACCTGTGCAAGGGTTCACCAGCCGGAAGGCATGGCTGGGTACAACAGTTACAGCACTCCAGAGGGGACACTTCTGGCTTCTCCTAACTGTCCTCTCAACACTCTTTCAAGTCTCCAAGGATGCCAGGAAGTGCCAGAGGGAGAGAACAGAGCTGTTATTGAGTATAACACGGACATTCCTGCTGCAAAACCATACCAAGAGGAAGATGCCCCTATTCCTCAGGGGATGAACCCACAGATATGATGCCATGTGAATGACAGCAGGACAGCTCTCTTCAGCAGTCCCAGCAGGAGATAAGGATAAAAGCTTTGGAAAAGTAGACCAAGGTGGGAATCTTCAGCCACTGTAAATAGGTAAAACCAAAGCTGGTTTGTGGCCGGATGGGAAACACCCACAGGGAAGCTGCAGCTTGCCCCCACAAGGTTTAACAGTGCCATTCCCAACCTTGACACCCACACTCCGCAGCTCCTACTCGGCCCACACCATCACCTCCCTGGCACCGCGGGGGAGGAGGAAGGACAAACCCGAGCCTGCGCGCTCCCAACGCCGCGGTTTACACCTCGCTTATCCCCCCCCAGCCGCAGCTCTCCCGGGGCTCCGCAAGGCGCCTCCTGACCCATCCCAGAGCGGCCCCAGCAGCCCCGTTACCGGTTACCCCGGTGACGGCCCCCACTCACGTGAGGACGGGGATCGGGGTCCACACCACGCAGTACGGGAAGCGGCCGCGCTCCGCCTCCAGCCCGGCCCCGGCCCCGGCCCCGAACTGCTTCATCTTGGCCTCCGCTTCCGCCATCCCCGGGCGCGGCCCTGCCCGCCGCCCGCCGTCACTTCCTGGAGACCGCGCTCGCTGCCGCGCACGGCCGGTAACCAGGAAGTGCGCGGCCCGGTACGGGCGGGGGGGGCAGCGGCGGGACCCCCCTGCCCCTCGGAGCGGCTCCGCATGGGCCTGCATAGAGCCGAGGGGGGAGGAAGGGGATGAAGGCGCTCAGAGGGCAGGGCGAGCTCTTACAAGGGGAGAGGCGGGTTAGGAAAACGACCTTGCTTTGTTGTTGGATTCAAACTGCGCAGGGGGCGAGGGGGAAATGGGTTCATCCCCAGGGACAACGTGCTGCGGGAGCGGGAAGAGGGAGGATGGTCCCTGCGCTCATCGTGCCCTGCCGCGCGTTCCTTGGCTCATGCCCTCCTCGCACGGAGCCCTGGGGCTGCAGTGCCCATCTCCACCCTGGAGCCAAGGGGTTCTGCTCACCCGCGCCTTGGCTGGTTCCCGCACATGGCCGGGCTCAAGAACTCTCCCTGCTTTCCCGTACCTGCCTTTGCTCAGTGGTGAAACCAAGCCCACCCGTCCCCATTCATCCATCAATGCTCTCGCTGTTCTGAGGCTGCACTAGGTAGCAGTGAAGCTTCCAGCTTGAAAGCCTCAGAGGGGATGCCCCTGTGGGGCTGGGAATGGCAGGAGGAAGGGCTGGCCTGCACGCCCTCAGTACACACTATGCGTTGTAGGAGTACTCAGGCTTCAACCCAACTGGCTTAGCAACGCGCTGCAGATGACATTTCCTAACATCCCACCTTATTTCCTAGTCTAGGCCACGTTTCAGGACAGTGCTTCCAAGAGGGAAGGAGCTGCTGGGTGGAAGCAGAGCCATGAGTGCCCCAGCTCCAGCTGCAGCGTTGGCATCATCGCAGCAGGACCTGTCACTGCATCAAGAATTGATCAAGAGCCTGAGACTGTGCTCCTGGGAATGGGAGCGTGAGGGAATGCACAAACCAGGCCAGTTCCAAAGGAGAGAATGCTGAGGAAAGGCAGGCACTCGAGCACAAAGCCATGCCTGGTGCTTCGGCTCCTAATAGACACTTCCCATTGCGGCACTTGGGCTGGAAGGTGCACACAGAAGTTGTTTGTATTTCAAGTGAACACTTTCTGTTCGGTGAGGAAAAATCCTTACATTGATTTGCTCGGGGCTAACATAAATATCAGAGACTGTTAAAAACCCATGAACGGGGCCAATGTTCACATCAGCTCATGTGGGCCTGGCACGGTCCTCGGATTAGGCAACGGATTTGCTCTTCCTGCTTGTGTTTCGGAGGCTGCTTAGCAGCCTATCACCAGGGAGCAGCTCCCTTGGCAAAGCCATGCAGCAAGGACAATGCCAACAGCCACGGCAGGACACGTCTCCCTGCAGTGCAGCCTCACTGCATGGGCAGGGGCAGTGCAGCTCGTTCCCTCCTCACCCAAGGGCAGGAAGGCAAAGGCAGCTGCTGGAGCGCGGGGAGAACACTTCCTCAGGCTCGAATGACAGGAAATCATACAAATAGCAATAACACAAATCACTGCAGCACTCCTGTACTGCACAGCTTTGTGTTTGTCAGGCGAGCAGAAGGGCTCTCCATCCCCAGCATCGCACTGGCAGAAAAAAGGGGTGAGCTGTAGCTGCCAGCAGGGTCTTCCTAGTGACAACTGGGAAGCTGCCGCTGCTCTGTGCCTATTGATCGAAGCAGAATACAAAACACCTGAAGTCAGCAGGGAAAAATAGCTGCAGTTGGGAAAGGAACTGCGGGGGGCAGGAGGGGGGGGTAGTGGTGGGGGAGTGGACACGACAGGGAGGGGAGAGCAGGTAAGAAGTTCTCCACGCATAAAATGAAAGGTCGGGCTTTTGATTGCAGCTCTCCCGCCTGCCGCCAAGGCTGGATCGATGGAGGGAGCAGGAATGCTGCCATCATTGCCTCTGCAATCTCTCATGTGAGAAACAAAAGGTTTCACTCCCACTTCTGCCAGCAATTTGCCACCGTTGTCTGCCAGGACGCGGCTCTACCTCCCATCGGGCCAGAGCATCCTCAGGACGGACACAGAGGACGTTTGCCTGCTCAGTGCAGGTACCAGCACACCGGAGTCTTTCTGAAGGGGAGTCCATCCACTGCTGCCCAGACCAAACACCCATGTGGGTCTGTGGAAGCCCAACACCACCATGGCTGGAGCTGGAGCTGAGCCTGCCAGGGGGTGCAGTTACCTCCCCTTCCCACCCGAGCTCATCACAGAGCCTGCAAATAGCAGGCACCCAGCCAGCTCCTGTTCAAAGAGCAGCTTCCTTGGGAACCCTCCCTGTTGTGACAGCTCAAACATTGCAGGGACTGCCAGAACCAAACCACTCAAGGAAGAGATCCCCTCCCCCTGCTGACATTGACAGCAGAGGCGGCAGCAGCACCACCGTACAGAGGATGTCACCACCGAGGCGTCCTTCCCTGCGCTGGAGGTGATGCTGGGGTGGGCTGCTGGTTTGTTGTTCCCTTCCTGTGGTCTGTGCCTGCTGCAACCTGACAGCCTCAAATTGCTCAGAAGGAACCAGGAAAGTCACTCGCAGCTGTGTTGATGGGGCTGCTCCTCAACAGGGCGAGAACAGTCACAAGCTCAGCCACCCACCCCAAAAGCATGCCCCCAAGCCATTGCACCCCCCAGCTCTACGCCGCACGGCTTCACTGCTTCCCTGGCACTTGAAAGCTGCATCTCCTCTCCCTCTCCAAGTGACACAGCCCATCCACAGTCAGCTGCTCTGGTTAAAGGAAAACCCACCAGTTTCTCGGGGACAAAGTGGAAGAGCACAAAGAGCCAAATGCAGGTCGTAAGGATTCCTTAGCTACCACATCCAGCTAAAGGCCCATCCTCTCTCTTTACTGGCCCCAGAGGGGGTCCTGAGCAGCCTCACCTCCTGCAGCAGCAAGGCCTGAATCAGCTCCAAGGAGAGGAACAGGCAGAGGCCTGAATTCCTCACTGCAGCAGCAGCAGGCAGCTTCCCGACATCCTGCTCCCATTTTGCTCAGACAGGAACCATCTCGAGCCCTTTGCAGATGTGTTCCTGGCACTGGGAAGTGTTACATCAGAGAAAAGTGACCTCATCAGCATGGCTGGGACTGCTCCTCTCCCCACATCCCAGCATGTGTCCCTCCTTACCCTCCTCAACGCAATTCCTTTACCTAAAGCACAACCAAAACTCCATTTGCTGGGTCCTTCTACCCATTTCCACCCACAAATTAACCACTCGGCTTTCCCTTCCCCACTTCCTCTTTGTCCAACCATTCACTCCACAATCTGACCCAATTAGCTGATTGCCAATTCCAGCTGTGGATGCACATTGCTTTGTTAGGAGCAGAGCTGCCTTTTAAACCCATCATTTCATTCAGACAGGATGGGGAATGAAGAGGCCTCCAAAGACCTACAGCTGAAAGATGTCCAATGGGAATCTTTTAAAGAGAAGAGTTCCAATGGATGCTGAAAACAGCAAAGTGGGTTTTGAACTCTTATTTATGTGGTGATTCAGGTCAGTGACCCACAGCCTAAGTCCCCAGGGCTCTGCTTCTCAGGGCATGAGGCTTTTTGAGATGAGCTACAAGGCAAGATGGGACCACTTTCCCTCCTTGGCTCTTTGCCTCCCCCTTGCTCACCTCTAACTCTTGGGCTCAGCAGGGACTCCATGAGGGTTTGATCAGATGTATCCCCCACCCTGACAAGACATGACTCAGAGAAACCAGCCCCATCTCACACCACTCCTCTCCCTGTCAGACACATGCGTCACTTCTCCCTCCCCAGCAAGCCCCAGCTTGTTCCTCCTCACCCCAACATCCGCAGCTCTGGCTCTGAACCAAGCCAGAGGTGGGTTCTGCTCCTGAACACAGCCCCAGCCTCCTTGCACTCCCAGAGCCAAGCTCCCACACCTGATAAACCGGTATCAGCACTAACCCAGCAGCCACCACAGCTTCCAAACGAGTTCTGGAGCTCCCCATGAAGCCCTTTTGAGTAGACAACACCCAGCCCCCCCGGGCCTCCCTCCTCCCTCCCCATCCACTTCCAGAGAGCAGAAAGGTAGAACAAAGGCAGATCAATCCCCCAAACAAAACGACACCAAGAAAAAACTAGAAGAAAGAATTGTTTAATCTCTTTAACCCTTTCTCTTCCAGGACCAGAGAATCAAGTGTTCTGCTCCTTCTAACGAGGGCAGTAAGGCTTGTGTGTTACTTCTACAACTGCAGGGGCAAGGTTTACGAGATGACTGATCACCTTTAGTACTTGGAAAAGCGAGAAGCAATGGTCATTGCACTACTAAAGAGAATCCTGGGCTCTCCTTACAGAGAGCCCACTGCTAGAGTACAAAAATAGAGGAGGCATCCCTGCATATCCCAGCCTAGAAAGAGTTAACCAGATAGAGCAGGAAGAAGCTTTCCCAAAGAGGGGGTTGAAGTAAACAGCAGAGGTCAATAAAGCAACATCTTCTCCCTACGTCCCCAGCATGGGTTTTATTTCTTCACCAATAAATACAAAGCCCTCATTATCAAGTGACAGAGCAGGTAATCTGCCCAGGACAAGGGGCCAGAGGCAGAAAGGCTGTTCTCTCCCATTATCATTCCTCATCTTTAAACTAAAGCAGCCATTAACAACAAGCAACCCACTGCAGAGGCAGGGAATCTTCCAGCTCTCCCACAGCTCACAAGGGGAAACCCAACAAGAAATAGCTGCCACAGCACAAGGTGAATGGGGAGGGAGAGGCCTGTTCTCTTCAGAGCTCTCCAGTCTTGGTGTCTCTGGTTAGAAATCAGTGTGCAGACACTGTCTCCTGAGAGCTGGGAAAACAAAGTTTGAGTGGGAGGAGAAGAGGAGAAAAAAAAGAGGCTGCATTGAAGAGGGAAGCCTGAAGCAAGGAAAAAAAAAGGCCAGACCATGGCAAAGAGCCACCCAAGTGAGAAGAGGTTTTTTGCTGGCTCTGGGTTGGGAAGAGCACCGAGTGCTGGAGTACACCTGGGACACCTTGTGAACCCCACACAGGTACATGGAGCGAGCAGGCACATCTACACCATGCCCTCAGAGCCAAGTGAGGATCTGGATCTGTCCCAGAAGAGCTCTGCTCCAGCAGTGGACGGCTGGCTCAGCCTTCCTCACAGCTCAGCAGTGCCCAGATGGTAAGGACCATGCTCCCACAAGGCTGGGGGTCACTAGCGCTCAGTGCCACCCGGGACAGAGCAGATGGACATCTTTGTCTAAGGGGTAGAGACCTGGTCCTGGTTAACTCCACTGGGGGATTTCTCTGTGCAGGGAGCAGTGTCCTTGGAGAGCTGCTGCAGCTAGAAGGCTCTGTGGCCTCTTTCCCTCCTGTAAAAGGCTCACTTGTGTCCAAGACTGTTCTGGAAGGGAGAGGAAGCAGTTACCTCGATCAGTCAGAATTGTGCAGTCTCTCTCATCAGTGCTTGGCAGCCAGAGGAGGAAAGGGAGGCCTCTCATCCACAGCAGCAACAGGAAGACCAGGGATTGCACCACATGGAAGAACAGCCCTAATGCAGCACACACACATGCGCACACACTCCCAGACACACATCTCACACCCCTGGGACCAAGGGGTCCATGTTCAGACCTTCAGCAGGAAGAGATATGAGACAGCACAGAGCAGTGAAGATCTCCAGGGGCTCTTTGGTCTTAGTTGATAGTCCTAGAAAAAACAACCTCTTCGGATCCGGTTGTAAGCACAGCTGTGGAAGATCTGTTTGATAGTTAGTGCTTGGCAACTGCAGGAGGGAAGATCAGGGCTGCATGTGACATGACAGAGGAAAGGATGGAAGTGCACTGCTGCATTTCTAGGTGCACTCCTGGCTTTGCAGCCACGTGGGGAGAGAAGGAAGAAGGAGGAGGGTTCCTGAGAGAACCACTAACCCATCAGATGCCAGCCCAATGAGGCCCACCTTGGCCAAGACAGAAGAGCTGACTGCACACAAATGCTGCTGTCTGAAAGCTTGACACTTCAGATACATGTACATGGTGGCAACGTTCTCAGCTCCAGGACGGGCGATGTGGAAAGGAGGTGAACACAGGTACACGTGTTTTAGGCAATGGAGAGACCAGCCCCTTTCCTCAGTAGCTTCAGTTACATGAGTCCTAAGCCTCCACTCAAACCTGCTCTCTTTGCTGTCACCTTTCTCCATGGCAAGCACCCCCTGCCCTGCTGAGCTGCGCATACTCAGTGCCTTCACTGATCCATCAACTAAGACAGATGCCCAGGGACAACACGGGCAACATCTAGTCCTTAACACAACACAGCTACGCCTGGTGACAAAATGTTAAGAGATGGAAGCCAGAAGAAAGATGTTATGGGACATACTAGGTGTCTTATGGCCAACAACCCTAAACCAGGGGCCTCTAGACAGGCTGGTAGCACAAAAGCAGAGTCAAGCTTTCAAGATCAAGCTCACTGCAGTGCATTCATTCCATAAGCCCTGCCCTAGGTTTGTATTTTATTCAGGAATTTCACATTCCCTCTGCAAATGCATGAATGCAGCCAACCCTGTACCAGAACATACAGCAACTCTGGAAAACAACATCACCAGCTTACACTGCTTACAGACAACTCAAAGACCCCTGTTGGGACTAAATTCCACTAAAGGCAAACCCTGGACTGCACTGCCATGCTGCTCAGTAGTGTGAGGGGAGGAGGAGGAGGTGGTGGTGATGGTTTAGAGACGGCCGCTCCTGCCCCTGCCAGCTTGTCCTACTCTGTGCATAGTGCGAAACAGTGCAGTCATTCATCAGAGGAAGTCCAGGACCAAGGAAACTAGGTTCCCTTTCAGCCAGACAGTTAAGAGGAAGGAGAGGCAGTTCTGTTTTAGCTGGGCCGGCACTGGACTTGCCCCTCTGAGCTGTCTTCATCATCTGAGCCTCCAGCCCCACCACTGGTCAGTCCTGTAATCCGGTACCCCATGTTCAGCAACATCACCTCCAGTGGGTCTGCGTTCATGCGCCTCTGGTTTGCTTGGGAAGCACCTTCCATGTCCACCACCACGCGGCCATTCAGGGTTTCACTCTGTGACACAAGAAGGGAGAGAGCTCAGCAAGGCAACGCCAGCACCAAACTGGGGCTGAAGAGGTTACTGCTGCTGCAACTCCTAAGAGATCCCAGTGGGAAAGCCCAGTGTGTGTTACATCTCACGACACCAAGACAGCCTTACTTTAGCAAGCACAGCTCTTACCTCTGGCCTGGGGTTCCACAGTCGTACAACCGGGTCAATGCCGCTGGTAGCCAGGAAGCAGTAACTGGGATGAGGCTGGAGGCAGTTCACGATGGACTCGTCTCCCTGCAGCACTCTAACAAGGTTGGTGGTTTCTTTCTCCCAGATGAAGAAGGAGCCGTCGTCTGACCCACTGACTATGTACTGTGCATTGCTAGGGTGAGAGGAGCAGAGGCTGGAGAACACAGCTTAGAGCCACAGCTAGTCTCTAGCAGACATGAAAATCTCAGCTGGTTTCTATAATCAGCAGGCTGCCATCCCTCACACTCACAGATCCACATAAAGCTTCCTGTGATGGTTCCCTCCATCCCTGGGATTCATGTTTTCAATCCCAAATGGACTGTCTGAAACGCTACCCCAACTCTATGGGTCTGCTACTGAACCTGTTATTCACGCAATCGCACAAAGAGGAGGGTTTCTATCATCTTTCTCAACCCTACAAACCAGTGTCAGCATCACTTTATGAACAGTCACATGGGGCTACACGAGGCTTTATCTGCCTCATTCTGCCGCTGCATCCCTCTCACACACTGCCACATACCTGCCAAAGAAATTGGCCTCTTTGATGTCGGTAGTAGTGTTACAGTGGCCACAGTATCGGAACTTGTAGTCGTAGCTGCGCTCCCTCAGCACCATCTCATCCTCTGAGATGGAATCCTTGCGGCCTGTGGCTCGCAGCCGGATGGGGCCACCCCCTTTCTTGTCTTCAGCTGGAAGGACAACAGATTTCCCTCATCACAACTGGGGGAGGAACGTGTTCAAAGCAAACAGCACTCCAGGAGACCCCAAGAGCTTTAGAGGAGTGTTAAGGACAACTCCAGCAGGGAGCAGGGCTTGGAGCACAAGCTTCCTTCCACATTATCTCCTGGGTACATCAGATTCCTTTTATCACAGTCTTGCTCAAGAGCAAACCAGGCCCAGGCACAAGGAAAGAACAGGCTCAGGCCAGTTTTTGTGCACAAGAACAATCAATCTCTCTCTCCAATTGGAGTTTTACTTCAGAAGGACAGTTTAAGGAGAACATTCCTTGTCCCATCATTAGATTGCAGTATAACCTTGAAGCACCACAGCAGGCATTGGCACTCACCGTTATCGCTCTTGGAGAAGAGGGCTGCATTGATGTCCCTGTCTAGTGCATCACAGGCACTGCTGTGTGCTTGTTCTGGGAACTTCCCTTTAAAGTCATCCAGACACTCCAGTGCTTCTGCCACGTACTTGAGTTCAAAGAGACAGCGGGCAAGGCGGAAATGGGCCTTCAGGTGGCACGGATTCAAGGATATGGCCTTCAGGCAGTCTCTTAAAGCATCGTAATGGTCCCCATCCCTGAAGAAAAGGGAGCATGGATTAGACAGCCCAAGCATTCCCAGCACACATTTCCCACCATTGCTCCCAGCCCTCATTTCACTTCAAAGCTTGTTGTTTCCAGCTCTCTCTATGCGCTCAAACACCCCACAAGCTCTGAGCTAATACCATGTACCGCTTCTCAGAGGCCCCATCTGACCAAGCCCAGATCCTTGACTGCAGTGTGAGCACGCAGGGAGGCCCAGCAAGTCCTGACCTGCCATTTTAGAACCGACTGTGCAGAGCTGACGGATAGAACACATTTCGGGAAGTCCTTTGAAGATGGAGGATGCTCCAGCCCTCTGGCCAAGCAGACACAAGGCCTCTCTGCAAGGAGAGCGGGGCCTCCTCGGAGCACGGCAGCTCACGCGTGCCCCTTTGTGGACACACAGTGTGGTAGCATCTTTTGCTGCCCACACTCCCAATCACTTGTAGGCTTCAAGAAGGAGGCACAGAAGCACACTTCAGCACCCTGACGGAGAAATCTCTATTGCAGCAGTTTTTTCTCACCTTTAGAGGAAAATCTTTAAGTTTTGGAAGTAAGTGTTACAGCAGACTGGGATCATAATGGATATTTATATCCTGGGTACAGTTCCTGGAGGCTATGCTTGATTCCCCTAAGCTGCAGAGCTGTGGGAATAAGAACGCCTCTGCTTGTGCTCTGGAAGCAGGAGAGGCTTGCTGAGTTTTGCATGCTGGCATTCCCTTCAGCTTGACAGAGGCTGAGAAGTCAGGCAGGGCTGCACGCCTGCTGCACCAGCACTGAGCCTCAACTGTCCAGAGGCATCACAGAGAAGACCTTCTCTGAAGAGAATGCCAGGTCGCCACAGGATCTGTTATTGCTGACCAGTGATCACCACTGCTGATGGAATGTTGTTATTCTTAGCCATCATAAGATTGAGATGAGTTCTTAGGCAGAAGAGGGTGCTGAGGCGCTGGCACAGGGTGCCCAGAGAAGCTGTGGCTGCCCCATCCCTGGCAGTGCTCAAGGCCAGGTTGGACACAGGGGCTTGGAGCAAGCTGCTCCAGTGGAAGGGGTCCTTGCCTGTAGCAGGGGTTTGGAACTGGATGACACAGATGGGCGTCTCATCAGTTCAGAGCAGAATGGGCTATTAGCTACTTTGCCACCCCCAAAACCCTTCCAACCTCGAATCCCAGTGTCAGCCAGCGCAAGAGACTGGTGTGGAAACACTGAGATGTAAAGCAAGACCTGACTTCTCCCACTGTTACAGGTTTGAATCAGCTAAGTACTGTCAACTTGGACAGCTAAAAGCAGGGCTGGAGACTGATGGAGCTGGCTCTTAGGAGCAGATTTTAAGAGGACAGCTTTAGAAGTGCTGCAGATACCAGGAGCACCTTAGTGGAGCTGAGCAAGAGGGGAGATGTGTCTCTGTTATTCAGAGAATGAGGCCAAAGCAAGACCTGCAGCATCCTGCACAGCTCCTGCTGCGAACATCAAGCACACCTCAGAGACAGAGGAGTTCAGCATGGGTCACTGTCCAGCTACTCAGCGACATCCCATCACCTTCTGCCATCCAGCAGCAGGAAACTGTCCAGTCTTCCCTATACCTGAGCAGATTCCAGCTCAGGACTATTTAAATTCTAATCACTGCCCACCACAGAAACCCATCGTGCATACATTTTTGCATCTTCCTGCTACTGAAAGCTGTAGCAAAGCAGGGGCTGACACACAGAAAGGTTCAGATCTGCCAACATCCTTTGGGAAAAACGTTTCCTATAAGGAAAACGTCATTCATGAGCTCAGCACTCAGCTTCTGCCTTCCATTCCTTAATCCCAACCTATTGTTCTTCTCCCTCTGAACACCGAGGTCTTTTTGAGGCAGCTCCCAAATCTCTGCTATTGCAAAACAGCTAGTAGGCCAGTTACCAACAGTCACAACAACTGCTGGCTGCTCTTTATCTTGGCAAGAAGAGAGGAGAATTCATCCTGGGGATTTCAGCAGGGAGAGGGGAAGGATATCCTCACAAAGCAAATGGAGATGAAGGACCACAGCTATTTTAACTATGTTCATAGCAAGTCATTCTGCTCAGTCTTCCTCTGCTCAAGGGGACAGATACTAAAACAAGTCAGGTGTACCTTGCAGATGCAGCTCTGCCTGTTGGTCAGAGAAGCCATTACCTCCTGCAGAGGCTAACAGTGTGTCTTGCAACAGTGAAGACAGAACCTCTCCCAGACTCTGAGACACCAGTTGCCACTTCCCACATCCCTCAGAGAGGTTTGCTTTCAGTGAAGGGGAAGGTGGGTTAGCTGGGCTAATACAGGAACCACCAGGTCATGCCTGATTATCTGCAGTACTAGTTACCTGGATAAAGCAGCAAGCAAAGCAACTCCAGGCAGCCCTACAACAAACTTCTATCATGAGAGATGAAGTCAGAAAGCACTGTAACCATTACCTCATCTGTTGCCAGCAGATTTTGAGCCATACTCTAATGCAGATCAGAACTATCCAAAGAAATGCAAACACCCTTGCAGACACTCATAATGCTGTTACTCAGAAGTGGATTTTGGGTTTCTTTTGAAACAGGAAAGGAACAGAACATTACTCAGCATGCCAGCAGGCAAAATGAGGAGCTACTACCAGCTGTGCTTGCCTGTGCAGTATCTGTGGCTGTGTAATCCCCTTGTTCTATGCCAGAGGTGACCCACTTGATCCAAAACCCCCAACCCTGCTCTACACAAATGTTCTGTACAGTGGATAAGGCATCAGTGCTACCCAGATCTTTGTCACCTCTGACACCCTCTGCTTCCTTACCACTTGCGTTTCATGTAGGCAGCAGCTCTGTTTCCATATAGCATGGCATTGTTGGGGGCTTTCTGGACTGCTTTGCTGTAGAGCTGGATGGCTTGAGTCCAGAGCTGGCAAGCAAAGGCCTCGTTGGCTTGCTGCTTGATTCTCTCCAGGTATGGAGGTAACTCCACTTGGGGACTGAAGAGAAAGGAGGAAGGAGCACAGGTAAGTCTCACGTTCTCTGTGAACTCCAGTTAACCGTCTGCAGTGCTTTGTTCTAGCTTAATAAGTCCCAGCAAGCATTAGCTAATACCAGAAATGTCAGACAAAGGCAGAAGATATCCTCTACCTGCATAAACTGGACTTAGGAGGAAGGTTTCTTTTTGACCATCATTTATATGACAAACATATACCCACAATTGAACAGTGGGTATTATAAGCATCTAATCCCTCAGACAGCTCTGCTTTGACTGGATAAACAACACCGCCAATCCCAGATCACCAGTTCAGCAGGAAACCAGGCATCCCAAGCTGCACAAGGCCCATGCTCAGCAGCCCACCATTCCAGCTACATCTCTGCTGCTGTGCTGGAGGGGCCATCTAGAGGAAACAAGCTGAAAACATCGAACAAAGTGACTTTGTAGAACCCAGACTACCCATATATGGTATTAAGCAACTGTGTCTTGACTTTTAACCGTGGCTCATCAGCCGGAGGAAAAGCAGGCAGCAAGATGTGCTTCCAGTCTGCTGCTGCTTCACCCAGCTGCGTTCTGCTCTTAAAAGAGAGCCTCAGGAACAATAGAGGAGGGTTCTCCACCCGTTCCTAGCTCCCATGCAGACTGCAGGAATAATGACTCCAGTGGCATTGGCGTAAAGCAATTCTGGCTGCTTCAGATGCCCCTAAACAATGGCAAAGGCAAGCAAGGCTCTTTGGACCTGACGACCTCTCCCATTTACCAAGACACAGTTTCTGCAGGTCAGAACAACTAAGAACACTCTGATTCCAGGCCTGAAAAGTCATTTCTTCATTTTGTCTGCAGTAATTCATTATAAAGAGGGGAAAAATCCTCATGGACAACATTTCTCCTAGGCCACCCTTGGCTGATCTGACTCTTGTTCACACCAGAAGCAAATACAGCTCTTAGGACAGAGGCAACTTAACAATCAACACACCGAGTAAATCTGCACATCACACTTTGTTTAGCAGCACCTAACCATGGCAAGAGGAAGAACCATAGAATCAAACAGCTCCCTCCAGTACAGGGGGACAAGAACAACCAGTATGGGCTTTCATGCAGGTAGAGCTGTCCCCTTACCTCACATGTGCTCTTCCTTCAGCCAAGCGGAAGCCGTTGCTGTGGAGGTGGATGCCATTGGACACTCCGTTGGTAGAGGTTTTGCCATTCTGCACTTCTGAAGGTTAGGAAAGACACCAAAAATACACAGCCATGCTGCAATCAATGCGGATTATACAAGCTAATGCTTGAAAATAGATGCACATAGAACAAAGTACGCACAGAGAGGGCAGCTTGAACTGAACTGCCTTCAGACTCTCTAGTAAGTAATCACCAAGAGCCTGATATTTAACACTGCAGAACTGTTTATTAACATCAGTAACTTTCTCGTTTAGATTCACTCAGATAAAGAATCACAGAGCTATGTTTAACAGAACAAGGAGGAGCAGAACGACTGGAGGAATTCAGGAAAGGAATTCTATATGCTTTCTTCCTTCCGTTCTTTCCTTACTCCACTGCTCCAGGAGCTGTTACAAGCTGAAGTAACCCTCTGAAGGTCGTGCAGCCACATCATCTGCCATTTCTACCCAAAATACTCATCTTAAATGGCTACAACCTGCATTTCTGTTGCAGCTTCACAGCCTGGGAAACTGGTGCCACTCTCCAAGCCATGCACTGCACTGCTCAGCGACTGCAGTGTGCAGACATGAAGCTCAGCCTTTGTACTCACACTGCCTTTACCTGAACTTTCTGTGCCCAACAGGGAGGAGCATTTGCTGCACCCCTGTGAGCCTGTTCAAACACTGTCCTACCAGTGGAAGCGTGACCTCACCAGATACCACAGTCCAGATCACCCACACGCATTCAAGACATAAGAGAAAGGTAGGGCATGTGTTTGCTACCAGGATGTGAGGGTTAGATTAAGGCCTAAAGCACACTGAGTACACAGATCAAACTGTGCCAGAGTGCTCTGAGCACTGCAGTATCTGTGTGCACGAACAGGCCCTGGAAGAAAAAGGGCCAAGAATAAAAAGGCTTTTGGATACACTTACTCATCAAATAAATGACTTTGATTCAACCAGGAGGGATGTTGGTGCCAGGCCTGATTCAGAGAGTCACAGAATGGTTTGGGTTAGAAGGGACCTTACAGATCACTTAGTTCTAACCCCCAATTCTTAGACTAGGGAAGAAATTGTTTTCTCTCCTTCATAATGGGTGAAGGAGGGGATAACAGACATGAGGGGATAACATTTTACTAGGAAGTTTAAACAATATACCACTTCCCTGCCTGTCCACAAAGCTTCCCCCTGAACTGAAGGCAGGATACCAGGTCTTCAGCCCTCTACGAAGTCTACTTTATTCTTTGTGCACAGCTTTAAGCATTCTCCTTAGTTCACACATGCAACATCTCACTTCTCCCCTCAAGACGCACATTTTGTCACTCTCTAGAAGGGGTTTAGAACCCAGGGTATGAACTGCACTGCAGAAACAACCCAGCAACAGCCAACCCCTGCTTCATTTTCCTTGTACCTGCCCAGACTGGGCTGACCCCTGAAAAGAGTTGTGTAGCACACGATTTCCCTCTGCCTTTCACTCACTTCCACGCTAGCATCATACTCACCCCCTGAAGTGTGGCACTTCTTTGGGAGGAGAAAAGTGTACGGTCGCTGTTTGTATGTTAAATCAAACAAATAGACCTAAGGAATGAAGAAAAAGAATGAGACAAAAGTGAGTGACACATAGCTGCTCAAGCCACAGAAACACAGGGCTGGCTGGGTATTCACTTCCACCCTGCATTCTACTATTTCCAGTTTTCTAACTGGGAACCTTGGTTAAAGATGGGTACACACAGGCTGACAGCAGCACCAGTGGTGTGTCCCACTCCAGCACTGGCTTCAGAAAGTAGAACATTGAAAAACAGGAGCCCTGTCTTACTGAAGAGGTGAGAAAACCCTAAACCAAGGCAAAAGTGTCTCTAAGACGAGACCAGGATTTCCTGAGAAGCTTGGAAAGCAGCCCTGCAAAGCCCTAGTGTAACACTGGGATAGGAGTTGAGAGCTCAACTCAGAGCTGCAACTCATCTAACCCAGCACCTTCTCTCAAAGAGAATGAGTGCACGTGTGAGAAAGATCTGTCGAGGACAAGCCAAGGTCCTACTTCATCCATGTGGATGAATGCTGGCAGGAGGATTTTCTCATTTCACTGATAGGTTTTACGAAGATCCATGAATATCACTTCTAATTAAAGCAATCAAGATTCCAGGTGAAGGCCTTTGCTTCCGTAAGTTCCTTAATTCACTAGGTTCTATTACAGAAGCAGTCTGATGTTTCAGGAATGAGTTATGAAATCTTCTCTAGGACTGCACAGGTCAGTTCCAGAACTGGGGTTTTTTTCCCTCTTTCAGAAGATAAAATGGGAATTGGGAAACCTGAAGAGAATGTGGTTCAAGTCTGATCAGTGGCAGCACAACAAATCAATCCCTAACACCAGGCATTTAGGCTGAATGAATCAGAAAGCAGGTTAAAAATCAATCATAGGACTCACAGAGAAGGGGCTACACCCCTTTTTAAACACACAACAACGTGTGGTGACCCAACACACGCAGCCCCACATGAAGCTTTCCAGCTGCCTCCTTACCTGCTCCCCTCCCATGTTGACCAAAAGCTCAGTGCCATCAGGACTGAAGGTGACGTATGTGGCCACCAGAACTCTCAGCCTGTTGTTGTAGTCTGGAAGCTTTACTGGAAGGTGCCCTGGGGAAAGAAATGGTCCATACACATCAGCTTCACTTGCAACTGTTGTCTTTGTCCCACCCCAGCTGCTCCCTTCTACAGGGGGTTGGTAGGAGAGCAATGTATGATGTGATTTTCCATTTCCTCCTGATGTTTACTGAATCCTTCCATCAGCCACCATATTTAGATCTTCAGAAGAAATCCTCTGCCATGAAGTGGTGGGACACTAGCACAGGGTGCCCAGAGAAGCTGTGGCTGCTCCATCTCTGGCAGTCTTCAAGGCCACGCTAGAGAAACCTAGTCTTGTAGAAGGTGTTCCTGCCCACGGCAGGAGGTTGAAACTGGATGAGCTTTAAAGTCCCTTGAACCCAAACCATCCCATGATTCTATGAAAACACACAAATGTGCATAGCTGCCTTTTCACAAGCTCTAGGTATCAATTCTGCAAGGCCATCTCCATATGAAGACCGGGTTACAACTAGTTTGCTAGCAACAAAGCCTGCAGAACCCAGTAAATCTCAGTTTTAGGGATTCATTTTGGATTTGGCCTCTGTGATTCATGGCCATCTGCAAGCAAATACCTCCATCCTCAACCCTGTCATCAGACTCCCTTCATAGAGCCCTTAGCACAACCAACCCAAAGCTCCTAAATATTCAGCTCACACACAGGTTCTTTTGCTTCAGACAGCAGATGTGTTGCATGACCAATTCAGGAGACCTAAGAAATCCTCTAGCGGGGCTCAGCAGCAGCAAGACTGTCAGAACTGGTCTGCTGAACATGCTGGTCGAAGAGTTTGATAAAAACCAAACATTTTGGGGAAAAAAAGGTAGTAAATAACAAGCACTGGAGAGAATGTCACCTTTGTTGCCCAGATACTGCAGCACTGATGCTTCACGTGCAGAATGAGGGCAAGCCACTGCTCTTCTGTGCCAGAAAGACAATGATGACAATGAACAGCAGCTTTGCTGGGACCAGTTCCAGAAAGAAACCTATAGCCCCCCAGTTATCTAAGAAGTAAGGCCAGCTCACCACCACACACCACTGCCAAATCAGGGAGTGTTATGCAGGTAACATATGCAGGTAACCCGTTATGTAGGTACCATAAGCAAAAATTCACAGCATAGAAGTGAAATAAACTACTATTCCATGGATGATCCCTGTATCAGAGAACTGTTCCAAGCAGTGGTTGCTTCTGTCATGGGTAGAACTCCACTTCTTCAGGCATTAAGTCCCATCAGTGTCCCCCTAGCATAGGTGCCTGTACCTGCCACATAGTACTGCGCCGCGCCATCCGGGAGGGGTTTCTGTCGGTCACAGAACGTGTGTACTCCAGCTGAAGGGCTCTGCTTCATGCTTTTCCTAGCCAGAAAGAAGAACAGCCTTATAACCACAGCATTCAACTGCTGGAAGCCTGGTCTAGACTGACACTTCTTGCTCACACACAAGGGCAAGGCCTCCTGCTTATACAGCTGTGTGCTCACCAGCCTGCTCCACACCACACAGACTGACTGGGCAAAACTTCACAGTGAGCCCCAGACACTGCTCCCTGTCTTTCCCGTTCCCACCAGAGCCTTGACCAGATCCCTGGACCACTCCTGTCTGCCCAGAAGATCCATTACCTGTGGTTGTGGATCATGCGTATGTCGTAGACCCGCACAAAGGGGCCACTTGCCCCCACTGCCAAGTAGTTGTTATCCTGGGGGTTGACCGTCAGGCACTTGGCCTCCACCAGCTGCCCACAGTACTCTGTGAGGTCTATGAGCACCTCTGAACGTTTGCTGTTCTCTCGCAGGTCGTACTGTCTGCAAAGGGAAGAGAGGGTCAATCCGTGCCACCAGGTAACAGAATCAGCACTAATAGAGGGCTTAGCTTGTCTATTGAATAGGGGGAGGCTTAGCTTCCTGTGAACATGCATTTCTCCACGTGTGTTCTTTAGGTCATTTGGTGTATGCTTGTATGAAAAGTGGAACAGTCTCATAGTAACTTTATTCTTTGAAGAGTCTCAATGACTGTGGAGAAAAACATTGCTCAGTGTTGTATCTCCCTTCCACTCAACGTGGCTGCTCCTTTCTTGGCCTCCCTTTGCAGCAGAGGAAAACAGAGGAGCTGAGGAGAGTCTTTTTCAGAGGAGTCTACATTTCGAGATGAATCCAGAAAAGGGAGAAATGAGCTTAAGCTCTTCAGAGACAGATGTGTGCATAACATATACTGCAATGGAGCCTAATCCAGTTCGTTCTGGGGCAGAACAACAAGAGTTTTGTACCTGATGAGCCCATCTTCTGCTGCACTCCAGAAGGTGTTAGGCCACATGGGAGCTGTGGCAATCCGCTTAACTCTGTTGGTGTGATCTCCAAACATGTGGATGGTCTCCTTGACGGTCAAGTCATGGACATGCACCTTGGAATCTGCAGCTCCCGTGATGAGGATCCGATCCCCTGAATGTGGCAAGAACTGTTGGGAGACACATTTGACATTCAAACCTGAAGTGCTGAGCCTGTTCCCACAGGTTTAGGAACACAGGATGACCTGGGGTCTTACCTACGTCGCAACGCACCCACACTCAGGAGGCACCAGCTACAGCAGCACACAAAATAGTCTCTTCATCACACATCCTAATCTGCTACAATCATTCCCTTTGACTTTATAGGGAGCATGAAATAAACGTGGGAGCTGCAAAACCTAAGAAGTGCAGGTATTTTTTCCTAGCATTAGCAATACTGAATCCTGCTTTTGGGGGCGGGGCAATTTGCTTGCAGGCCAATGTTTCCCAGCAAGGATCTGTTCTCTTGCTGCTCAGGTTGATCATTTTGATAGTTGTTCATTCTATCTAATGATATACCTTGACAGAAAAGATGTTTGCAGTATGTCCTGTGTGCATAGAAAGGAGCTTCTTGTGGTGCAGAGGATCCCAGACAATAGTATGTTGGTCATCAGAGCCAGAGGCCAACAAGCTAAAAGAAGCAGAAGAGAAATATGCATCATATATTCTTCTGTTCTAAGCTGTGACAAATTTCTTGCAGTGCTTTGACCACAGGCACCCAGTAAGTTAATTCAGCTCTAAGAAGCCCACTTCTCCTCTCTGTTCTCAGCTGTGTGTTCTTGCTGCTCCCCATGCACCCATCCATTGAGCCAGTTTAGGGAGCTAAACCAGCCAAACAGCAACTCCATGGATAACAAAGTGAGTGGGTTTTGTTGGTTCAGCACAGACTCCAGTGGCACAGCGGAAGACAATAGGAGCATTTGGTCAACAACAAAATGCAGAGCCTCCTTTTTGCTTATTAGCCTGGCTGCATGAACATCATCCCCAAGCCCAAGCCAAGGCATTCATTCCTGGACTTCAGATGGGCCCAAGCAGTCCCAAGCCAGGGCTCATGTAGTGATTCACTAAGTGCAGGGTGTGGCAGTGACATTACAAGGTGCTGTTTGCTTTTACATCTTTGTCAATGAAGCAAAAGCTTTGACATCCCCAACCATCAGCTTGTTTAAACTTACTTCCTTGTAGCCAGATCTCTTTCAAGAACACATTTTTACTGGGAAGTCATTCTAAAGAGCATCAGACTTGGGATCTTGTGAGAGGCATGGCAAGAAATACATGCTCTTCCTTCCACCCAGTCATTTCTCATGCAGATAGTGCTCTTGTATTTAGTTTCCCTCTAAAACTGCAGAGGACTTAGTGCTCTGCCTCACTCCCCTATGTATTTGTCCCCCAGCAGAAGCTTTTAAGAGCATTGGGAAGGGGGTGGGGTCACCACCAGCTGGGCAAATCCTAAAGCTCCATTCTAATCCGTAATAGCACTTAAGAGAAGAGAAGCAGGCTTCAATCTCCACTTCTTAGGCTGACCATTTCTCTTCTGAACTCACCAAAAGGGCATTTCTAATAATATACAGATCTATTTAACAAAATAAAACTGCTTTTGAAGTGTGAGCTCTACTATAGTTCAAAACTTGGAGCTGGAGCTTTACTAGGAATGGGAAGCATCTCACTCTTGGGAGAACCTGCGGTTATCAGTTGGTTGATCCCCTGGGCCACGCCACATACTTACTCTCCTTTTTCATTCCATTCAAGGCAGTTGACACACCCAGAGTGACCCTGAGGAAGAAAACATAATGGGAAGAGAGGATTACACAAACTTCAGACTTCTCAAACAGAGCTGCTCCAAGACAAGGACACAGAGAGCTCCCCACACATAACAGCTTGTTCCAATGTGGAAAAACCCACCCACATAGCAGATAAGCACCTCCAGTCATGCTCTAGCAGTTGGGTTAGAAGAGGCAAAATGAAATAAATAAGCCAAAAATAGGTAGTGTTGAATAAAATGGCAGTTGAATCTCAGAGGCTACAGAGAAATTGCTGCTGCACACATGGAAAGGTGACTTTGCTTCCAAAGCCCTTGGCTAGGCTGACAAATTACATGTACAGGTTCTCTGGGAACGCATGGGAAATGCACTTCTGGTAACTGCTTTAGATGCACCTTGCTGCTGGCTGACTGTATAACCCATCTTCATCCAAACAACTGTCCCAGGGAAGACTAGGGGAGCATTGAGCAGTGTTTAATACAGGAGATGCAACTGAAAAGGGGAACAAAAGAATCTGTCCTCCCCCAAACCAAGAGAATCTTAAGATCTTTTTAAGCTGTGTCAGACTGCAAGACAACAACCTATTCTTTAGGCAACACATTACCCTCTTCAACATTCCAGCTGAGGATCTTGAACAGTTGACAGTTGCCTTCTTCAGGCACCACTATTGGGATTAGCTGCTACACACTCGTTAAAGGCTCCTGTAGGTGTGTGTTAGGTAATGCAGAAAGCTCACACAAGCTCTCACTGAGCTATTCCTGGCTCTAATGCAGTCTAGGGGACTAAGTAATCAGCATCTATCCCATACAAGAGAGAATTTCATATACTCCTGCTGTACAAGTAGCCCTAATTGCTCTTTAAGCACAACCCACTTACCTGCAGCTCTGCTTCTAGGCCCAGGCGTCGAATGAAAGGGTCGGTGACGTGATAGTGTCGCTCAAAGCCCAGCGCACCCCTCTCCTAGGAGGCAAAAAAGCAGCACACTCGCTACAGCAAACAAAACACTCCTTTTGCCCTTTAAAAGAAGGTTCAAATCTCAAGCTGGGACCTTGCCAAGTACTGGGGTGTCCATAGCATCAAGTACCTGTCCAGTAGGAAGGAGATGTCATTTGCATCATCTCCAGATAGGTAGTGTGTAATTCTTGCCCCTGAATTGGTTTAAAGTGACTTTTTTCTCATTGCTAAGCTCCAGCTGGGTGGCCAAGACAAGATTTGATGCCCACACTAGGGCAGAATATTGTGCCTACTTTGGGCTATAACCAGGAGAGACAAAAGAGCTTGGCAATGCCTGTCGTTATCTCTTGGCAAGGATTTCAGCAGCCACTGCAGTACTAGAGCACAGCTGCTCAGGAGATGTCTGTCATTGCACAGATCCTGCCCTGAAGCACCACCACCACCACCACAGGGCAAATACTGGGGCACATCACTGGACAGCATCCTTCAGAGATGGCTTCTTTCAGCAGGACTGGAGTGGGAGCACGTAGCTGCAGTGCCACAGCACAGCCTGTTCTACAGAGAGGAGAGCAGCTGCCACAGGACTGCGTCAGTACAAATGAAGGTGAAGAAAAGCAGGGCAGTTGTTTCCCCTGTGATCTCACAGGCTTTGCAGATGCATGAGCAGATGGCTTCGATGAAAGAAGGCCAACTGCAGAGGCAGGCCTGAGGACCAGGGAATGCAAGTCATATTCTGAATGGAACATATAATGTCCAAGGAGGTTCATTCCTTGGTCTCATCTCGTGCCATGCTACACTCAGGTGAAGATAACTTAAGGCTTCCTTAGCACCATCTAGGGATGGGAGCACCGGTATTAAACATTAGATTAGGTACTAGGAGCATGTTAGCAGTCACAGAGAACTGGCACACCACATTACAGCTCTGCAGCCCCATATGAAGTAATGAACTCCACACAGCAAAAGCTACTGGAAAACAAAATGGAGACAGAAAGAAAGGGGGAAAGGAGAAGCAAAACAGGCTTTTTATAGGACAAATCACTTTTTATATGATAATATTCCCAAAACACTCTTAGGCACAGTGCAAGGTGCAGCAGTTCTAATTGCCTTGTTATGGCAACCCCAGTGGCTTTGAGGTACTGCTTTTCCCACAAGGAAGTGTCAGACTTAGAAATCTTCCCAAGGTCAGGCATTAAAGTCTAAGAGAGCAGAGAGTGTGAAAGAGTGCCAGGCTAAGGCTCTAAGCACAGACCCATCCCTTCCTTGTTAGAACAGCAAAACAAATCTATGTACATGGATTAAATCACAAATTCATACCACAAAGTGTGGTACCAAACTGCAAAGTGGAGAGAGCATTCAAGCTCCTAGTTCCTTATTCTGGCCACTACCAGCCCACTTGCATGAATGCTGATTATCAGCAAAGCTGCAAGTGATTTAAGGCTTCTGAGTCCAAGCAATAATTGTCAATTGTGTCTGATGTAGCTGGTCCTTTCACGTTAAGAGATCTTTCACCAAATGCAGCCATCAGATGACTGATGCGACCACAGGACAAGTTTTTCTCTACACAAAGGAAGCAACACAGCACTTTGTAAAGAAAGAGAGCCAGAAGACTGAGACAGAGATCATTAGCTTTACTGCAGTCAGAAAATACCTCTGATGGCAAGATCACACAAAGAGAACACAGAAAGCAGCAGACAGAAAGCTCATGTGGGGAGCTAGCTAAGGGTCCTTTTTGGTGCTCAAACACAAGTAGCTGTATTCCTCTCTTGATCCTTGTATTCAAAAGGAACAGACCTGCTGATGTCAAACTAGCACAGGGAGCTCCTGCTAGGGAGAAGAGCTGTATTCCTGTTCTGCCATACTTCAGCCCACCTCTTCATTAAGGATAGTAACAGGTCCTATGTATTTGTTCTCTTAAGCTTCTTACACAGCTTATCAATATGCAAGAATCTTTTCCGAAGTAAAGGCAACACCACGAGTATTTCCCAGGCCATGAACACCAATCCTCTATGTGCTGTCCACTCACCAGGAGCAACACTTGGCTAACACATACCTTGATCTGTCTGTGGATGATGTCTCTGGTAATGTTTGCTTTTGCCATCTTGTTGTGATGGGGCAGACAAAAAGAAGCTATCGGAAGAGCTGCTGTACATCCAAGCATGCCACCAGAGCAAAGATCCACACAGAGGACATTTAATTACCTGCAGGACAGAACAGGAAGAAATTAAAGGCAGGCATACAAACCTTAGGCCAGTCATATACAATGTCAAGCACTTCAATAGCAGTGGCTAAGAAGTGAAAAGCTTTGTATAAAGGCTCATTGAAGAAACTCGAGGATGAGAAGGAGCAGTGCAAGACTGAAGAACATCCTGAGTTCGCAGAGGAATTCCCAGCAAGCAGAACTCCAGGATTACCCAGCCCAGAGAAGCCGTGTTTCTGCGCCAAAGACCCTGCCAGTCCAGGGCAGCATCTGGTTCACAGCTTGCCTCCAACCATTCCATGTCCACTCATAGAATCCCAGCCTGGTTTGGGTTGGAAGGGACCTTAAAGCTCATCCAGTTCCAACCCCCTGCCATGGGCAGGGACACCTTCCACTAGGGCAGCTTGCTTCAACCCCTGTCCAGCCTGTGCCAGCGCCTCCACCTCTTACACCATGAGTAAAGAAGTCATCGATATTTGTGGCCACCTCTCCTCTCTCATTTACTACATTTGATTATCAGCCAAAAACCAACCCCCCAAAAAAGGACATTAAGTGTTTCTTTGGAATCAGCCACCCATCAAGTGCCATCACTTGGACACCCAATTACATTAGCACTAGGAAAGGGGTGACTATTGCAAGTTGTATATCCAGGAGGAATGAGAGTTTGCCACCCTCCTAAATATTCCATATTTAATGCACTAAGCTAAAGCCTGTAGAATGAGGTAGACCTGCTGTGCACAGCGAAACCATGAGGTTCCTGCATCCCACGAGCTCCCATGCCCTGGGCTTCAGCTTCCATCTGCTTCCCAAAACCTGGTAGTGTGCATACACAGGCATCTCCCCATGGGTAGGAAGTACCAGGAATTCATTCTTCCTGACAGCAGAGTTTGCTCCAGGTGGAAGTTTCAATTGCTTTCCTAACACAGCTGGCTCCTCCATGAACACAGAAATCTTGTTAGACCTATAGACAGCAAGAATCACCATCCAGACATACAGAAAAGCCAGGTTTCTCGCAGTGGGCTCCCAAGCAGACTTTCAGGGTAGCCATAGGATCAATCCAGTGTAACACAGACAAAAGGCACGCTCCCCCAGAATCCACGGATCAGCCTGAAACTGAGCTACTCCCTACATACTAGTTCATCACAAGTGTATTTAATCCATATTCTTTTTACTCCAGAAGTAGCTCCAAGAAAGACACCAGGAGGACACCTCATGTTTTAAGCACCTCTACCTTCACTCACTCATGTTAAGCAAGAGTTGCTTCCCTCCCACAGTTAACAGCAAGAGGCAGCACCATGACTGTGTCTGATCATCAGTATTTCATGCTAATTCTTGTAGTAAGATGATGAAGTGGTCAGATTTTGATACTTGGCCTCTGGTTTTCCATAGGTATTGTTCTGCTTCTTTATGGAGATGGAGTCTATAAGCAGACACCACCAACTGCCTTCTGAAGAGCTCACAAGCATGGGAGGGAGAGGAAGCAGCAAAGCACCTCAGCACAAGGGCAGGTGGATCCTCTGGACTCTGCAGCAGAGAGGTAAGCACACAGGAGACCCGTTGCTGCTTATGTCCAAGGCCAGATCTACACACACATGCCAGCTGGGCTGGATAAGCTCCATTGCTGGAGACATCCATGAGGATGTGCTTTCCAGGAACAATTCTCTGCCACGTTCTCCAAGACAGAGAACTGCTAATTCAAAAAGCAGCCCCAGGTTTGGATAGACCAAGCATGCAGGGATGTGTCCTGGGATCAGCAGCAGCAGTCATTTTTCTCCTTAGTAGCTGGTGCAGTGCTGTGTTTTCAACTTTCAGCCTGGGAACAGCACTGATAACACCGATGGTTTTAGTTGTTACTCAGTAATGCTTACTCTGACCAAAGACTTTCTGAGTCTCATCCTCTGCCAGGGAGGAGGGGAAGCTGGGAGGAAGCAGAGACAGGACACCTGGCCCAAACTGACCAAAGAGGTATTCCATACCACAGCACGTCATGCCCAGTATAGAAACTGGGGGCAGTTACCCGAAAGGGCTAGATCACTGCTTGGGTCAGGCTGGGTATCGGTCGGTGGGTGGTGAGCGGTTGTATTCTCTTCTCTTGTTATTTCCCTTATCATTATTATTGGTGGCAACAGCAGTGGTTTGTGTTACACCTTAGTTACTGGACTGTTCTTATCTCAACCCAAGGCTGTTTCATTCTGTTGGTTCTCCTCCCCATCCCTCTGGGAGCAGGGGACCGAAGAAGGGGTAGAGTGAGCAAGTGGCTGCATGGTTCTGAGTTACTGGCTGGGCTTAAACCATGACAGTATGAATCCAGATATCCTTCCCAGATAAAAAGCCTCTACCTGCCCTTCTCCTGGGCTAGATCCCCACAGACTGCCCTCCTTACCAAACCCTCCAGTGTACAGAGATGCTCTCTCCATCCATAGCTACAATGGGGCAGAGAGACCCTCTATCACTGTGACACCTCAACAGTTCAGCCCTCAGGCCAGGGGCTCTTAAGAACTTCTTACCTTTAAGCTGATATCCCAAGGCTCCCCTCCTCTCTGTAGGCCTATTAAACACACGAGCCACCCAACCTCACTGCTTGTGACCAGTGGCTAGTGACACTTAACTTTTTCCAGAGAAGTGAATGATCCATTATTACAAAGTACACTGTCAAGAGACACGAGGGACAATATTCCAGCAGATCTCAGTGTCTCACTCTTCTCAGAGCTTCCCTACAACACTCCCAACCACCATCTGCAGTTCCCCTCTCCAGGCAGCATCCAGCTGACTTCCTCCCTGCCAGGGCCTGCTTGTCTTCCTCTGTAAGAGCAGTTTGGGTTTCTTTTGCTCTTTAGACCCCAAAGGGACCTCAAACATTCAACCCCCTCAAAACCTACCGCTCCTGAAGAAAGACTCAAATTCTCTTGCTTATCAACCAAGTCTCCTCTGCCATAGCATTTGATACCTTCTCCCACTGGGCAGGGGAGTGCAGCAAAGCACATGTGAGTGGTTTTAGGGTTACAGATGTGTTGTGGAGCTTCCCAACTCTCTGGACAGGTCATTGTCAGTAACTCAGAGGTGTTCTGAACAGCTCACCAACACATGTTAACTTTATTTCTTAAAGGATACAGATCAAGAAGATCATCCACAAAATAAACCCTGTGCTTAACAAAGTGGAATAAGACAGAGTTTAAAGCAAAACTGACTTTAAAGATGCTAATACCAACATCCAAGGCTGTGTTGTATATGCTTGGCTGAGAAGACTCTTAAGAGCCTTTCTTGCCTTCACAGAGCTGGGGGTTTTTGTTACTCTACAGGTATTCCACTACTGCAAAGACTTTGGCAACCTGAAATGATCATGGAATCACAGACAAAAAGTCCCAAATTGTCTCTTTCCACATCAGACATTGTCCATTAGCTACAAGTGGTCGCAATCCCAGACTCACACACACCATGAATAATGACAGTTACATAGTACTTGAGTTAACACATGTAGAGATCCTGCTATGAAACAAGCATTATAGAATCCTAGAATGGTTTGGGTTGAAGGGACCTTAAGGCTCCTCCAGCTCCAGCCCCTGCAACGGGCAGGGACCCCTTCCACTGGAGCAGCTTGCTCCAAGCCCCTGTGTCCAACCTGGCCTTGAGCACTGCCAGGGATGGGGCAGCCACAGCTTCTCTGGGCACCCTGTGCCAGCGCCTCAGCACCCTCACAGGGAAGAGCTTCTGCCTAAGAGCTCATCTCAGTCTCCCCTCGGGCAGGTTGAAGCCATTCCCCTTGGTCTGTCCCTACAGGCCCTTGTCCCAAGCCCCTCTCCAGGTTTCCTGCAGCCCCTTCAGGCACTGGAGCTGCTCTAAGGTCTCCCCTTCAGGAGCCTTCTCTTCTCCAGGCTGCCCCAGCCCAGCTCTCTCAGCCTGGCTCCAGAGCAGAGCTGCTCCAGCCCTCGCAGCAGCTCCATGGCCTCCTCTGGCCTTGCTCCAACAGCTCCAGGTCCCTCTTGTGCTGCTGCCCCAGAGCTGGATCAGGACTGCAGGAGGGGTCTCTCCAGAGCACAGCAGAGGGGCAGGATCCCCTCCCTGAGCTCCTGCTCACACTGTGCGGGTGCAGCCCAGCACATGGGGGGGGTCCCAGGCTCAAGCCAGACTGATGTGCCCTGGGGAGCTTCTCATCCACCCACACCCCCAAGTGCTTCTCCCAGGGTTGCTCTTAATGCTAAAGGCTATACTAACCACACCACTGTACACGTAGAACAAGTTTCTAATTACATTATGACTTGACCATGGCATAAGGCATAAAATGTCCCAAGATTTGTAGGTCTTCTGGAAAATACATATCAATATTTTGACAAGAATCAACTGCCACTCCAATGTCTCAGCCACCTATAGGCTTCACAAAGCTCCTTTGAAACCTCTGGCCATTTGTTATCAGTAAAGGCATGTAAATTGGTATAGGATGCTCCTCTTTCAGCAACCCCCCTAACTTTTAGACATACTGTTTCCTAACCCATTCATGCAGCTCTCTGTCTTTGAATAAAACTTGCTCAACCAACTCATGCTGAAATGAGAGGATTAAGTCCCAGTGACAAAGAACGATTTTGGATCAATCTGCACTACTGCTACCATTGATGACCCCACAGGGAGCTTCCCTTTGACTACACCTAAGAGATGATGACCCTTAGCTGACACTGGAGCACATTTCTCTCTCCCTCTTCAAGGGCATCTCTGCACTCAGTTCCAAGGCAGGACAACCTTCTGTTATCCCTCACTGTTCCCAACCTGCCTGGAACACCCAGGCAGGACTCAAAACCCAGGCTCTAGCTCCAGCTGTCACCTCAGCCACAGTGCCAGTCTCCTCACACTGCACCCAGAAGCACAGAGAGGTGCAGTCAGCTGTAGGTCACTCCTGGCCTCTTCTGCTCCTGTAACACAAAGCTTCAGAGGCAGAAGAACCTTTCGCAACACTCGGCCTTTAAACCTGCAGTCAAAAATTAACAAGGCAGGGATCTCTGCAGGCTCCAGCTCTGGGCTGACACTGACAGCACCTTCCGAGCCCTTTCAGCTCCTGGAAAAGTCCACTTCCAAATGGACTTCTGGGGATCATTCTTGAATGAGCGACACTAAATGAGCAACCCAACTCCTCCCTGTTTGATGCACCCAAGCTTCCCAGTCTCCAAACTCAAGGTCACTGAAGAAAAAAGCAGCACTCTGCACGCTCCAAGCCTTGCAGATACACAGCTCATCCCAAAGGAAGCTTGCTCTGACCCTGCCCTGAAGCATCTACAAATGACATCACCCATCCAAACACCACCTAGGCCCCAACTTTAGCCTCACCACTTATTTTCCCTTTCCTCTTTACCTTGATTTTCTAAGAGGTCACAGATCAAATGAAGAGAGATACATAGAGACTGGTTTTAACAACCCTCGAGAAACAGGAGGCAAAGGACCTGGTGAGCAGCAGACACCTCAGAACAAGGTTTTGCAATGGCTGAAGGAATCACCAGGAGCAGCAGTCAGTGCTCAGGACAGAGGGAGCCAGCCAACAAAAGAGGAAGCAGCTGCTTACAACAGAGGTGGGCAGGAGAAGAGGTGGGATCCTGGAGCTGACAGAGCCAGCACAAGAGGACAGCCATGTCCAGACAACTGCTATGCCCACGGGGTGGTTATAGCTCAGGCATCCTCTAGCCACCCTTCACCAGCCCAGCCCAAGTAACAGACCAATGGCAAGACCCACATGGCTCAGGAGCTGCAGGAAGGAGTTCAGGCAGCAGACGCTGGCAGAGAAAAAGCTCATCTGCTTCCCAAGGGAAAGGGCTGCAGGACACTCACTGAAAGCTCCACGGGAAGACTTCAGCACGGGAAAGGCAAGCAGGGCAGAGTCAGCCCTTAGTAAAGGGGAGGAGAAAGTGAGGACAGGGCAGCACCAGATGCAGGAGGGGGAATGAGGAGTGAGGAAGTAGAGGCTGAACCTGGCAAGGGGGTAGGACCAGCCAGAAGATGCAGGTATCATCAGAGCTGAAAGGGAAAGAGGTGCTTGTTAGCAGGGGGAGAGGCTGGATAAAGGGGGAGGCTGCATAAAGGGGAGGATAAAGGGGGGGAGAAATAAAGACGGAATGGATAAAGGAGGGGAAGGGTAGAGAAGGAATGGATAAATGGGGGGATAAAAGGGAGGATAATGGGAGGGATGGATAAAGCGGGGGCTTCTCAATTGAGATGGGGTCAGGCTCCTAGAAAAGAGGTGTGGGGAGTGCCTGGGATGGGAGCTGGGGCGGGGGTAACCGCCAGGAAAGAGAGGGATAGCAGTGGGGCACCGTCAGGAAAGGGGCACAAGGGACGCGGGGCCGGTGACCCGCCTGCCCCGGGCACGGGGGCCGCTGACAGGGCGGGGGGGCTGCGCGGGCTCGGGCCGGCCCTGGGACCGTTACCTGTCAGGCCTCCCGGGCGCCGCGGGCACTGGAAGTTGCGAGGCTCCATCCATGCAGGGGGCAGCGCAGGACACGCGGAAGGAACAGCCGGAGGAGCACCGCGAGCCCCGGACCTCGTCCCCCGGAGCCCCCAACGCAGGCCCCGCCGTACCCCGGCCCGGCCCCTGTTTACCCCCTCAGCTGTCCGGGGCTCAGCAGCACCCCCCGCCGCCGCTCGCCCCGCGCCGCTCTGCGCATGCGCCACGCCAACTGCGCCACTACCCCCCTCGCACCAACAGCTAACCAAACTCCGCGCAAATAGAGTAACTCGCGTTCGAGAATACTTCCTACGGCCTGCCCTCCCGGCGGCCGGCCACCTCGTGACTGACAGCTCTGCTAGCCAATAGAAAAGGGCACAGAGTCTCGCTGCGGGCTCTACCAATCATCACGAGGTGGAGGCGGGAGTGCAGTGCCGCGAAAGGGCTGCTGGGAGTTGTAGTCGGAGGAGGAGCCATGGCGGCTGTCGGGCAGGCCGCAGCGCTCCGTGCCTCCAGCAGGGTGCGGAAGAGCCGATCCCTGCCCGCGCGCGGTGGGTTTCCCAGTGGAATTCGGGGCTATGGAGTGCAGCACAGATGGGTTTGGGGGGGATGTAAAGGAGAGCCAGGGGGTGGCAGTGTTTGCAAGGCTTCCCTTCCCATTGACTTTCCAGCCGCCTGGAACAGGGGGTGGCCGTGGTGTCTGTCCAAGGCAAGTGGCATCTCCACCAGTCCCCGTTATCCCAACGCACGCCCCCGAAAACGGGGTGTGTGAAATAAATATAGTTTAAATATAACTTATTTCCACAGTAAACATTCCAAAGTCTATTAATAAAGTGTAATGAATGAAGTTGAATGAAGCTTCATTCCATGGCTCCTTCGTGACAGAAGGAAACTGCTGCCTGCCTGCTGTGTGTTAATAGAAGGAGCAAAAAGCCCCTTAAAGCTGACATTATATGGGCTCTGTGGTCCTTACGTGGTGCACGTTCTGGTCTGTGAATGGTTACTTCCATATGCCCCAGGCTCATAAATGACAGCCCAACCATCAGCTGTAATAATTTGTCTGCCTCTCATAAGCCATGAACTCATTCAGCTCTTGTCAAAGTTCTTTAAGGGACATAATTGTTGCTTCTGCATCTGTCTGGAGTTCTTTAATTGAACAGATAATAAGGGGGATCTGTCACTATCAACCTTCCAGCAGGGTTTATCTTCTTTCCTCAGATGCTGTCCTCATGGGGATCTAAAGCTCCCCACAGAACACCAGGCAGGCTTCCGATGCCCTTGACATGGAAGCTTTATGTGCTGATGCAAAGAAAACTGGGGCACAGGAGCTTGGTCTTTTCTGAGCTGGTGACAGACAGAACAGAGACAGAACAGTGTCTGAAGTTGAGGAGGTACTTGCTGGTTCTGCCTGTCAGGCTCAAAGGGAACTTGGAGGGTGTAAACAGCCTTTACTTGCCACTTTGCTGTGCTGTTTGTTGGAGCCGAGCAGAGACAAAGACTATCATTTGACTGAGAGACAAAGCCAGGCTTGCACGCAGTTTGCACAGGCAAAATGGGGATGGAGGAACTGCAGCAAAGTGGAAGCAGAGAGAGGGAAGTAGTGGTGCTGAGTTCATCTTTAGCAAATAGATGCAGAAAGAAAGAGCTGGGCGTCATATAGAAATGGATTATAAATGTATAGAAACATTCCTGGGGCCAGCAGAGTCTGCAGTCCGTTCTTCTTTGAGCCAATCTGTTGCATGACTCTAGGAAACACTTCCCTTTTGGTCTCTGTGACACGGCTTTGACTCTGTGTGCCATGTGCATGATGTCCTCCTGCTGATGATTAACATCTGCTGGACAGTATTTAGAGCCTCTGACCAAAGCTGCTGTAGAATATCAAAGCTTCCTGGAGGATTCTCACAGTACAAGGGCTGAATTCTGTGGGATTTATATGGAAACACACCTGTGGGCCTGGAGGAACACCACTGTATGAGTCAGAGAAGGTGCCCCACTGCAGAGCTGCTCAGAGGCAGGAGGTGTGAAGTATTTCCAGGAGCCAAGGAAAGCGATTCCAAACTCAGGTATGAACAGTGTCTGATTTTGCACCCCAAGATACAAGAGGATAAACTCTGGTGGATTAGAACTTAAGTGATTTGCTTGATGGCATGTTTCTAAAGCTCCCTCTGCCCATTCATGCAGATACCCTGCTTTCCCTTTGCTAAGAAGCTTAATCCTAATTATGCTCCATCCCAGTGTGAAGATGGTGCAACTTCCATGGATCACAATGGGGATCTCTAGCAGGGCCATGAGAAGCTGGAGGTAACTGGAGCCTAACACAGGAGACACAAATAACTAAAGATGCAAGGCAGCTGGAGCCCCAAGATCCTGGTGGGGATATTTCTACCACCAGAGAGCTGCAGTGCTGATGGATTAACTCAGGAACACAGACAGTGCTCAGCCAAGAGAGTTGGGAACAGATGGTACCAAAGGAGCAAGAAATTCATCTGATGCTGCATCCACCACTGGCAAACATCCAGCAGTGAGCTCCTGCCCAGCTCAGACCCACCAAAGCTGCCAACTGATCCAGGCACGAGGAGCTAAGGAAACCTGACCTGGTTATTTCATAGAACCCCAGCCTGGTTTGGGTTGGAAGGGACCTTAAAGCTCCTCCAGCTCCAACCCCTGCCACGGGCAGGGACCCCTTCCACTGGAGCAGCTTGCTCCAAGCCCCTGTGTCCAACCTGGCCTTGAGCACTGCCAGGGATGGGGCAGCCACAGCTTCTCTGGGCACCCTGTGCCAGCGCCTCAGCACCCTCACAGGGAAGAGCTTCTGCCTAAGAGCTCAGCTCAGTCTCCCCTCGGGCAGGTTCAAGCCATTCCCCTTGGCCTGTCCCTACAGGCCCTTGTCCCAAGCCCCTCTCCAGGTTTCCTGCAGGCCCCTGTTAGGTACAGGAGAATTGTACCCGTTTTCTCCTGAGTCTTTAGCGTCTCCCACAGTGTGGTCCTGCTTCAGCTGAAGCCGTCAGCCAGGATCAGCTTCTCACCCAGATATGACTAAGCCCTTTGAAAGCCAGAAACGCTCAGGATTTCTTGCTTAATTGCTAAACCAGCTCAATTTGAGTGTGCAGAATGTAACCAAGAGAGGAACTGACACACCTACCTGGTTCCTGCTCAGCCTGAGGACTTGCTTTAATGGATGGCTCACGTTGGTTGATGATTTCCACCAAGCAGCAAGGCTGCTGTGCCCCTTGCCTGTAGCAGGGGAGGCAAGGGGCCACGTTCCCTGCAGCCCTCCCCAGGCGACTCCAACCACCTGCGCTTTAGGAGCTGATACCATCTTAAACCAATAACATAGCTGCTGCAAACCAGCAAGTGTAACCTCCAAAGCTCCAGTTTTAGCTGCAGTGTGGCATGTCAAGGGCTCACGTCCTCCCCACACCCTGTGACCCCAAGGATTAAGAGCTGCATCTTTACCAAAAGGGTTCTTAGCCCCTCAAGTTGTGCACATCAATCAGTTCCGAGCTGGTTTTGATCACTCTGGTCACACACATGTGAGGATGGAGCAGAGCCAAGAAACGAGGGTGGCTGATCCCTGCTGCACAGTGTGAGCAATCTCCCCCCCCCTTCCTACTCCAGTGATTTTATTGGAGCCTCATCACATTTCCTGGTGACTCACACTTCGCCGGTGACTGGGACGAAGGGCATGGCGGTACCAACAGGCACCATGTCCTATACCCATGGAAGTCGTCCCTTTGCACCTCCCGCCACTCAGAGCTCTCTCTCCCCTGTGTTAAGGCTCTGTAGCCCATGGCTGGCCCTCTCGAAGCAGCAAACACGGTGGCTTTTCCTCTCCCCATTGGCCCAGGGTACCTGGGCCATGCACCCACCATCTCCCTGCCAGGCCCAGTGCACCCCTCCAGCAGCCAGCACCCACAGGGCCAGTCCATGCATCCTGCAGATCCCATTTTACTCCCTTTCTTTAGGGGTCCTTTGGCTCCTTGCACCCCACTTATCTCCATGCCTGGAATCACATCCTTGTATTTCCCCACAATGCCTCGCTTCGTCCAGCCTTGCATCAGCAGCTTCTGCCTCCATGCACATCCTCTTTGTGTTGCACTCCCCTGTCTCCCTGTACCCCACCTTGCCCTGCATCTCCCTCTGAGGCTTGCACCCTCACCCACTGCTTGCCTCTACTCTGTGCACCCCCTTTCCAGATGCATCTCACCTTGCCTGAGCACCCTCCTGCTTCTCTGCTCCCCTCTGTGCTGTATCCCCTTTGCAGGAGCACCCACCTTGTGTTGTACCTTCCTCCCCTCCCTGCATCACATCCTCCTCCTCCATACACCCCCTTTGCCCTGCACTCCTCCCATTAGTACCCACCGCTCCGTGTTCCCCTTTTCTGCTCCAGCCCCACTTTGCAGTCGCACCTCGCTTGCTCTGCACCCTATCTTCCACAGGAACCCCTACTCACTGCTTTGTACCCCACCTTGTGTCAGCACCTCAAGGTCCCACCCGCCCCCCGTTCCTCTGCAGGACAGAGCACCCCACCATCTCCCTTGCTCTCCACTTCCCATCACATCCAATCCACCGCATCCCCCTTGTATCAGCACCTCAAGGTCCCGCATGCCCCATTCCTACCCCTCCGTTCCTCTGCAGGACACCTGGCTTTTTAAGCAGCCCACCTCCTCCCTTGCACCCCCTTTGCGTTGCACTTCCCCTCCATTGCACCCCTCCTGTGTCAGCACCCCCAGGTCCAGCAGCCCCTGTTCCCATGCAGGGCACCCGGCTTTGTAAGAGCACCCCATCTTCACGCTTGCATCCCCTTTGCACCGCTCCCCTCCTCTATCAGCGCTCCCACTGCTCCTCTGCAGGACCCCGGCTTTACAGAGCACCCCATCTTCACGCTTGCATCCCCTTTGCACCGCTCCCCTCCAGTATCAGCGCTCCCACTGCTCCTCTGCAGGACCCCGGCTTTACAGAGCACCCCGTCCTCACGCTTGCATCCCCTTTGCACCGCTCCCCTCCTCTATCAGCGCTCCCACTGCTCCTCTGCAGGACCCCGGCTTTACAGAGCACCCCGTCCCCCGCTCCCCTCTTGCCCCACTCTCTCCCCGTTCCTGCCCCCTTACCCCGCCGCACCCCCCCTCCATCCCGCTCTCCCCGCCCCGCCGCAGGCGCTGCGCCCGCCCCCTGCCGCCGGTGGGATGTGCCCGGCGCCGCGGCCGCCCCAGCTCGCTCCGGCGCTCGGCGGGGCGGCTCCAGCCCCAGCCGCCGGCGGGCCCAGCGCCCCGCCGACCCCGCGCCCGCCGCCATGGGCGCCGCGGCCCTGCGCGCCCTGCCCTGGGCCCTGCTGCTGCTGGGGCCGCTGCTGCCCGGCCAGGGCTTGCAGGCCAACTCCGAGCCCCCGCAGCGGCACCCGGCCCCTCTGCCCGCGGGCGAGAGCGGCGGCTTCACCACGGCGCCGCCCGGCTCTGCCCAGGAGATCCTGCCGCTGCACCGGCAGCCGGCCAACGCCTCGGCAGAGGAGCACGCCAAGCCCCGCAAAGCCTTCCCCGTCCTGGGCATCGACTACACCCACGTCCGCATCCCCTTCGAGATCTCCCTCTGGATCCTCCTGGCCTGCCTCATGAAGCTGGGTAGGTTGGAAAGGCGCCGGGGAGGGAGCCTCCAGCACCCCAGGAGCGGGCACCCTGAGCATCCCCTGGAGCATTCCAGGGTGGGACCCCCCCCCCCCGGCATCCTGAGGAGGGCTCCCCTGGAGCATCCGAGGGTGGCAGTCACTGGCTGGGCAGCACAGACACCCCAGGGTGGGACTGCCAGAGCATGCCAGGGAGGGACCTGCTGGAGCATCCCCTGTATCCCCGCCGGGCACCCTGAGGCAGGGGTGGGCACTGCTCTCCCCACGACCTTGGGTCTGTCAGGGCCTGGTAGACAGGGCAGCAGCATCCCGGCCTTGCTCAGCACAGCCTTGCGCATTTCACCGGTTGGGAACACGGCTGGAGATGCTCCCCAAGCCTTGAGCATTCCCCTGCTTGGTTTCCTATCCTCCCTTCGGCACTCTGGAGGAAGCATCCGGTTTGTTTCCTGCCTTTCTCAGCCACAGATGCATTTTGTAACCTTGGAGAAGTCACTTCAAAACCTCCTGGCGCCTCCACCTTCTCTTCCTCCCCCTCCATAGCAAAGCAGGGGGGCAGCTGCCCCTGCTGCAGAGCATCCAGAGGGTTCCTGCCTTAAAGCTGAGGAGCGTCAGGGGCCAGAGGGCTGCGAAAGTCACCCTGTGCAATGCCCCTCTCTGGGCAAGCATCCGGCTGTCGGGCTGGGGGTTGTTGACAAAGTGTTTTCCAAACTTGTGCAGCGGAATCGATGGCAACCGAAATATCCCAAAGTGATGTGGCTTCGGGATACAGCTCCAATCTCAGCGGGGAGGCTGGGCTGGCCCCGCTCCCATCAGTGGTCCTACAAAGCCAAGATAGGTGAAACGTTTGCCTGTTGTGCTGTAGCGCGGTGCTGGGAGGGAAGGCAGCTCTGCCTTCATTTTGCCTCTCAATCACCACCAGCGATCTAAGAATGCTAAGGGTAGCTCTGCCCATTGAAATCTCGCTTTGGGAGCTCTTCAGAAGCTGGTGCCTGTTGGAAACCGTGCCCTGGCCTGGCCTGGAGGGGTACGAGAGGCCCCCAGGAGCTTAGTTCTCCCTGCTCAACTTTGCCTCATCCCCTTCCCAGCCCCCTGGGGATGCGGAGGCAGCAAAGCCCTGTTTCCACATCCCTCCTGGGTGGTTTATTTACATGCAGCGGAGCGAACCCTTCAGACCCGGAGGCTTCCTCCTGTCTGCGAGGCAAGGCAGGGGCAGACCCAGGCGGGGTCCGTGGGGTTTCTCCCTTCCCAGCTTCGCCTACGACGATTTAAGGTGCACGTTAACTGGAGGGTGCCTCGCGGGAGACGCAGCCGCCAAATCGATCTGCTTTCCGAGGGCTCTCCCAGCGCGGAGCAAGCGACCTCTGGTAGCTGCTCGGGGCTATTGCACTGCGCTTGCAGTCCTGCCCGGCAGCGCGGGGAGTGATGGAGGCAGAAGCACCAGTGCGGAAGCGGGTGGAGAAAGGAGGGGCCAGCGGCGGTGCCCTGCGCCCTGCTCCGAGGAGCCGCGGAGGGAAAGCGCCAGAATGGGCAGGGGAAAGCGGCTCCGCCGGGGGGGGACACGGAGGGGGACACGGGGGCCATCGCTGCCCGCTGCCTGCCCCCCTCCTGCGGGGACCCTCCGGCCGTGGGGCTGCGGGAGGCGGCTTCTCTCCTGGAGTGAGGGCTCGGGTGTGCTGCACAAGTTATTTCTGGCGGTGAGCTGAGCCCCGCTGGTGCTTCCGTGCTGTGCGCATTACGCAAGGCTGGGGATGAGGGGGTATATTTTAGGAGGAGCTGCCTTGCGAACTTGGCAAGGGGCCTTCGGAGATGGCAGGTGCTCTGCAGCTCTCCGGGATGTGGATTATGCCACAATCCATACCCTGGGTTGCCTGCCCCTTTCACAGGGGCTTCAGCAGCAGTCCTGGAGCATCCTTCTGCTTGGCCTCCTCTCCAGGGTTGCTTGTTCACCTTGTTCTGGTGTGGGGTTCCCAAGCTGCTGGTGCAGCTGAACTGTCGGCCTCGCTCTGCGTGTGTTGCTCACTGTCTAAATACTGGCTCCATCAGTGCCACCTTGGACCAGAGGATGTTGTTTGAGAGCAGCAAAATAGCCTTTTTTCCACCCAGGGATAGCTCCTGTGCCTGTGCAGTACAAGCTGTGAGGGCAGGATGAGACACACAGGTCTCCAGGCTCCCTAAAGCAGGCAGTGTTGGAGCATCCAGCTGCTATTTAGAGAGGAAGGGGGATGGTGAGCAGAAGCAGTGCTTCTTCTCCCCCCTGTCCTGTTAATGTGTATCCATAGATGCAAAGGGGGAACAGCTTTACTCCAAGAGGGGCAATGGGCTGTGCAGCATGGGCTGTGCATGACAGCTTGCCACCGGCCCCAGCTTCTCCCCAACCTCCAGACCCCCCTTTACTGGGTTAGTGCTGGTCATTGAGCCTCATGTTGCTGCAAAAGTGAATCTTCACCCCTGTGAATGGCTTTGGGGTGTCACCCACACACTGCAGACAGTGCAGAGCAACCACTTGGAGCGCAGAAGCCTTTACAGGGCTCTCCTCTGGGCTAGGAGATACAGCCTGACCCTTGTCCTGTTGCTCAGTTTCCCCTCATCACTCTTGACACTTTAGACAGTCCCTTCCAGAGGGTTTATCCTGTCTCCAGCAGCCCTGTCTGTGAGTTAGGTTGGGGAATCAAAGGTGTGAGTAGGGCCCTTCCCTTCTTGACATAGTCTTTGTTGATTCCTGGAGGATTCACACATGAGAGGGGCTGGATTTCTTCAACAGTGGGACTGGTTACCCCCGTGTGTCCTACAGGCATGGGCTCTTTCTGCTTTGCTAATCCCAGATGAGAAGGGGAATGCTGGTGCCGGCTGCTTCACTTCATACTCACACGGTATTTTAAGACTGAGTAGGAGAAGAGGGGGTGAGGGATAGCTCCAGCCATGCCTCTACAGAGCCATATGCGGACCACATCTGGTGGTGGCTTGACTTGGCCAGCAAAGGTGGAGAAGCCTTCCCGGCTGAGGGTTGCAACCGGGCATTATCTTAACCTGTTGCATTGCTGCACAAGGTCAGAACACATAAGCCATAAATGACCCAGGCGAGAAGCCCTCTGTGCCTGTCTGCAAGGGTTTGCAAGGCCATTGTAAGGGTTTCCTTCCCTCTGTGCCCAAGGAGTGGTAGGAAAGGGCCAGGGCACAAGAACCTGGTTTCCTGGCACTGAGGAATTGACGTGGCTCCAGGAGATGTTCAGGGCAATTCAGATCTCTCCGTTTCAGGGGGAAGGGAAGGAGTGAGTCAGGAATGTAAATAACAGATTGTGGTTAGCACGCCTTTGGCTGTGGCCTGCTGGTCAGAGCACCAGCTCCTGGAGAAGAATTGGGGTTACCCGTGTCTCCCAAGGACATCTTCCAAAGCCGCAAAGCATAGCAGTCATATTTCCATAGTGCATTAGGAGCTGCCTTCCTGTTGTCTCTCTGCACCAATTGACTTTTCAGCCTCTTCCCAAACGTCCTCGGAGCATCCTGGCCATTCCACTTTGCCGCTCAAGTGTGTGGTGAAATGTGATGGCTTGGCCTTGGATGGACACCATGTGCTGACCAAGCTGCTCTGTCCCTTCCCTCCTGGCAGGAGAGGGTGGGGAGAAAATGAGATGCAAGAACCTCTTAAAGGCAGGTAAATAAGGAAAACGGGAAGGCCGCACATGGAAGCAAAGGAAAACACAGAAGATTCATTCTCTACTTCCCATCAGCAGGCCATGTCCAGCCACTTCCCAGGAGACAGCAGTGGTTGCTCTGAAAGGCAAGCGTTGTAATAAGGAATGTCCCCGGTCTTCCTCCTTTCTCTTTACTTCTGTTGCTGAGCAGATATCCTGTGGTGTGCAGTGTCCCTTTGGTCAGTTGGGGTCTGCTGTCCTGGCTGTGTCTGCTCCCGGGATCTTGACCAGCTCCAGTTGGAGACAGCCTTGCTGCTGTGGAGTGCTGCTGCAGCCAAATTGGAGTGTTCTCCTCCTGGCCACCAGCACACAGCACCGTGGGGAAAACTAATACATAGAGGACAGCTATGGAGAAAACGAGCTCCATCTCATCCCGGTACGTGAGGACTTGATGTCCTACGTGGCCATGCTGGCTGTTACTGCAGAGGGTCCCCACGAGGCACTGCCTTAGAGCTGAGCTCTTACCCTACTTTTGCTCACTGATGTGCGCTAGATGCGCGCTCGCTGCCTGATGCAGTGCTCCACTTGGGCTTGGAGCCTGGAGCAAGAACTGAGTCATTGCTGTCTCTCCCCCCTTCACAGCACTCAACGTGTGTCTGGGTCAGGCTGTTGTCAGGGTGTTCCCTCTCCTTCCCTCCCTCCCAACCAGCACCAAACTGGTACTTGCAGACTGGCTGTTGTGTGTGATTGTTGGGCTGGGAGAGGCTGTATGGGGCGAGCAGAAAGGGGGCCCAGAGCTGCAGGGAGCTCTGTGGTATGTGGGGATGTGCTGCTGCTTTGGGGGTGTTTGGTGACAGATCCCGGGCATGGGGCATCCCAGCGTCAGGTGGCAGTGGCCTCACCAACTGTCCCCAGTGCTGCTGTCTGGGGAGGAGGAAGATGAAGGAAGTTCCCAGGGCCTGTGGGCTGGTGATAGGAGCTGGGAAAAGAAGAGCAAAACATGATGGGTACAAGTAGGGCTGTGGAGCCTCATGGAGGAGCAGGAACGATTTCAAGCTAGAGAAGTGTGTTGAGGCTGGCAGTGAGATTTGGCTGCTAAAACACTCGGGTGCTTTATGGATGCTTTTAGCAGCCCACATCCCTGAAACCCTGCATTTTGGAAGGGCAAACCCGTAAGTCTCACCGGGACCTGTCGGTTAATGGACTCGAGGGTTGGATTGGCTGAGGGGCTGATAAGCAGGGCAGGAAACATGGCACAGAATGTAGGAATTGAATGTGGGAGACCAGATGTGGAGCAGAGCCACTGGTGTGGGGTGTGGGGACATGGCTGCTGATGCCACCTCCAAGGGTTGGGAAGGGGACAGTA